CCTCCTTGCTAGAATTTTTCTCTCCCCCAACACTCAGGTACACTCATAACACAGCCAAGATTCGTTTGCTCTGACTACACGGGCATTCAGCATTTTTTTTTTTTTTTTTTTTGTAAAAGGCAGTATTTCAGGAGGAGTCTTGCCCAAATCTGGAAGGATTTTCAAAAGGAAAAAGACATATAGAGAGACATATTCCCGATACAGAAGCCACCTACTGTCAAATACAAAATCCTGCTTCAAAGATGATATCCAAAAGCCCTTCAAGAAAAGCACATTACCAGGATTTTTCATTGGCAAATATCACCTCTTTCTTCCTAGTCCCAATCTCCAGAACACCTGACCTATATTGCTGCRAAGCTTTAGGCTATGGCAAATACCCATTGCAGAACATTTCAGCTCGAGTTGCTGAAGTTTAGCAGGAGTACAGATCATTGAACTTGGCTTTTTGCCTTCAGGGACGGGGTCTCGTAACTTTGACGACATGCAGCAGTGTCACATCCCACYGCTACTGTCCTCAAGCATCTAGAATAGATGTAAAGAGCTGAAACAAATCAGCAGTCTCCAAACCCACATTAAATGTATCACAGGGTTTCAAAAGCTCACACAACGTGACTAAAGTTATGACAGTTCTAGGTTCACAAAATATTCATTAAAAAAAGTGCAGTCCTCACTATCAAACAATATATCTAGTATAAAACATGCATCAGTCTGTATTAGGGAGAATTATAACTTCAAGTGTAATTAGGAATTTGCTATCAATTTGCTCAATATAGTGAGATAAGACTCATAATAAGACTGTATGGAGCTTATTGCAACTGTATGGACTTTATGCAATTGTAACAAGCAAGCGTAACACCTTATAGAAGAAACTGCAAAAAAGGGCAAAACAGCTGAAATGTACATTATTAMATATACTGAAGAACTATGCAGCTCAAGAGAAAAGAAGCAAAGATTAAAGAACTGAAATATGGATTTTTCTTATATTTCAAGGCAAATTCAAAGCACAGACACCAGTGGGATTCTTAAAGGCTCTGCGGTTTCCAGCTGTATGTGCTTCAATACCAAAACGTCATTAAGATTTAATGTAGTACTAAGTAAGGAGAGAAAAAAAAGGCAAAACAAATCCCACATTTTTCCTCCTTATTTCCCCATAAAATTCCAATTTACGTTCTCATAGACATTTTCACATGTCAACACCAGTAAAGTCTGAATGTCTTTGAGACTGTATTATGCAATGCGTACAAAATTCCCAAAGTTTTGCAATTTCAAGAGAGTTTCAATTAAACGGATTTAAAAGAGATGACAGTCACCTATTTCTTTACACTTTCCATATTTCTGCTTAATTCTTCCATTTATGTATTAAATTCAAAGCTTTACAATGCCAACTCATTTCCAAGGGAACACGACCACTTTTGTCACAGAAGGGTTTTATCAAAAGAAACCTCCTTATTTATGGAAGGACACTTCAGGAAATAAAAYGGATTTAAAGATGAGTGAAAAAAAATACAAGTGGATAATACAGATTTTGTAAATGATGTTTTGCCTAAGTCTCTTTATGGACCTCTCCTTTTCAAGGAGATAGAGGCATTTGTATATGAGGAAAAGAAACAAACTGTACCTGAGATAGCTGCCAAAATAAGCAACAATGTTTGGATGTTTACAGTCTTTCATCATAATGATTTCCTGCTGCACAACAGCAAAATCTTCTCCTGAAAAGCAGAAGGATAAACATTTTCATCATCCCAGGCCATATCCACCTCTGAACCAGACTTTCAGTATGTTTTAAAAATAGACATTCTGAATAATTAAAACTAATAATCTTCTAGRTTATAAATCAATATTAATCAGCAAGTTTTAGCAATAAGAAATAGAATTCTTAAGACAGGAGATCTCATTCCAGGCCAGATGGACTTCACATCTGCTATATGTTATCTCTTACAAGATTGGCCATAACTCTTTCTAAACTTTGTRTTTTCCCCGAGACCCCACTGTGCCCATCTGCACATACCCTGTCATTAACCTAAGTTCTTAAAAAGGTGACAAACTTATTTTGGCCAGGTGTCYAACCTACATTTTATCACCTTCCTGAGCCCAGAGCATTAAATGCTACATTCAATGAAACATTTGACTACTGCAACTTTTCACTACACTCAGTGAGCACAAAATTCTATAGACAGTGCCAAAGTCACATCCAGATAAAACACTGGCAGAGCAAAGCCTAGGTAAATGCCAACACTATTTCACGCTTAGGTTGCACCTGCCTCATCAGATGCAGACATCATAAAAACCACGTGCAAAGAGCAAAAGAAAGGGGTGTCTGAAACGGGTGTTTTTGCTTTTTGGGACATGTGTGGAAATTCTGTAGGTAAGAGAGAGAGGTGGTGAAAGTATCAAGCTACTTGGTATTTGTTACTGTTATTTTTAYATAAGTTCTCGGGAAGTTTGTTTAGCTCCCAGACACAGTTCAATGAAAACAACTCATTTTTATTAATGTAAATGTCTTCATGGATAAAATAAGCATGAAAGTCTTTTAAAAAAAGAATAAATTGAGACTTTTTAAACAAGCCAGAGAAACATGAAAATTCAAAGTCATCCTCCCATAACGAAATATGTCAAAAGTCCTCTTTAGTGTACTGTTATCCCTCACTTCAGCCTAATTCGAGAGCTTTGAAGACAGAAATCAAAGCTACTGCCCAAAAATCTCTATACAGACAATAAGCTTATGTTTATCATATATAGAGATGTCAATGAAGTCCACACATAAACACAAAACTCCACTAGAACTGGCCAAATAGTTACTCAAGAAAACATCTAAGTCTTTTATCAAGTCAATTTTATCAAATTCTTTGGTCATCGTGATGCTACTTTTTACCCACAGATCTGACATTCAGGTGTATTTCATTACCAAAGCAAATTTCAAGCTGCAAGGTAACATCACAGTCAACCTACTCTCACCGTCTTCTATTTATGATCTGGTACCAACAGAATAAAGTGCTATTACTTTTACTGCTGTTCCCTAAGCAAGCTTCTACAGCCCCACTCCTCCTTTTAGTTGGATGGGTAACCCAGTACTGTTAAGGCCATCCAAATCCTTCAATGGCAGGAACCTCCACAAAAAAATTACAGAAAATCTAGCCAGAATAATCCAAGACCTCAACTTTCAATTTGCATTAAAGCTACATCATGAACTTTAGAAGCAAACTTTTGGAACCAAAGAATAAAATACTGTTCTGTTTTGAAAAGTAATATATATTTATATATATAAATATATATATGTACCATATAAAATAGTATATGTTTCTAATCACACGCCAAAAATAAGAGAAAATGGAAGGAAGCAGTAACTTCTTTCCTTCTCAGGCTGCGCAGACATTAAGCATAAAATCTCCTACTTTAAGAATTTTACCCCCTCCATATTAATCTTGAAATGAACAGCAGTGAGGTAATGAAAACGTTCCTTCCCAAATTCCAGTACTTATGCTCAACAAGTCTGATCGGATTAATCAAACAGCTCTTGCACACTGACAGCTGAAGCGTAAGGGAGATGCACTCTGTAAAAGCAGAACATACATATGGCTCAAGCATTAATCCAGCACACCATGAAGTTTTAGCTGTAGTCCCCTTGTTCACCCATCATTTCACCTGTCCTACTTGATACTTCTCCTTCTGTGCTTTCTCCAGCCAACTTCTTTCTGTCTCCCTCATTTCCTTTGTTCTGTACATTTCTGCATTATATGGGTTGAAATGGCAGTACTTATAAAATGACATTTTTTTCCACTTTAACTGTCCTTCTCACATCTTGCTTATTTATTGCTCCCCCCCGCTTTTTTAAAAAGAGCAATATCAATACTTTGACCTACACTAATAAAAGAAGACAACAACAATCATCTCTTTTCCAAAAACATTCACTGTGAACTCAGATAATTTTGTAAAATCACGTTTTAAACATGAAAATACTTTGTTTCAGTAACTTTTTATTTCACAAGAAAAACACTTACCTGGTTCTAGTTTTATTACTTTAATTGCTGCTAGCTCACTCGTGTTAACATTTCGGGCCTACAAAAAGAAACACACAAAAAAAACAAAACATAGAAATCGACTCTACAATTTTAACTTGAGATTCTCTGCCAATGCAAGAATGAAAGAGGACCCCCAAGATGCACAAGGGTCCAAAACAGTGACTTAAAACAAACAAAAAAACAGTCTGAGGATGAGGCAATATATTAAAATATCTTGCACATTTCTTTTATGTAATGTTTTATTTTTCTTCTAAATACATCAAGCATATATTTTTGTTGTCCTTGTAGTATAAATTCTCATTATATATGGATTGCTACTGAGTTTTGTTAGATGCAAAACACTTGTTTAAAATAATCTATGCCTTTGTTTAATGACAGCAAGCCAAATAGCAAGAATTCAGTGGCTAACATGCTTCCCCCTCCAATATTTAACACAAGGTCTCTTTGCCTGCTTTATTGTGGACATTTCTGCAAGGAGAAAAAGAAAAAAAAATAAGATACTTTCATGGGTAACATTCATCCAACAAAACACCTTGCACTGTTTTTATTTTCTAAAGGCAAAGCAAGTTATCTCACAAAAATACCGAGCAACTAAATTGTACCAAGATCTCAAACCTTTCAGTACGCTCCACATCCCAGCAACACTTTGCTGGCACATGCTAGTCCTCAACTACTCCAGTCCTTGATGATGCTATACCTCCATACAAAAATCTGCAACCGAGCCCAGAATATTGCTCGCAAAGGAATTATAACAAACATGAACTCCAGAAGAGCAGGGCCCTKTGAGCATCAGGTGTTCTCCCCAGCAGTTTGTGACTGCTTCTAATGACAAAGACAATATCTTTCTAATGCTTTCTTCAACCAAAAGAGCAACACATTTTCTGCTCATTTTACTTCCTGCCCCGTGAYCCCTGCTTCCAGCCAGTAAGAATATCCTCCCCTTCTGCAAGGCTGCTAAACAAACAAGTCACCAAAGGAGTGAAAAGAAGGCATTAAAAAAAAAGCTTTTTCCTCATGTAAGCAGCAATCCAATCTCAGCAGCACTGTGGCCTCAGCAGCCATCGCTCTGCAGCTTAACTGCGTGCTACCTGCAGCAGCACCATGAAGTGCATGTCCTGCTAAGTCACCTGCCAAGGGAGCCAAGTTCTTCAAGAAAACACTAAGAAACAACACAAAATGTGACAATAATAACTTCTCTTTTCAGAAGCGAGTACCAACCAGCATTTCCCCCATATATGCAGCACAGTTCTGTGCCCCCTGCRCACAGCTACAAGGAGAGAGTAATGAAACTGCTCTGCAGCTCCGAAGCAGCAGCTCCTGAATGACGTTCACTTACTGCCTTTCCCTTCCCTGATGGGGATCCTGCAGCCACCACTGTGCCACGCYGGACCACTCCCAAGAGACGGCAAAGACAGTACATCCCATTTCACAACCACTTTCAAATGAAAGAGCACTGCTGCTGAATTATTACAAAATTAGTATAAAACTGAATGATGCAGATCATTAGCCGCCTGCTGCACTGCTAATGATCTCATTTTTAAAAGTCACTCAAGAGCTGATGGCTTGGATGACAGAAATGGCCAATGTACATTTTATATTGACTTTTTTATTATTAAAGAGAACTGATTTACAGGACTGTTTTGAAAGATTGCTGGACTCACCAAATGCTATACGGTATCAATTTATAACACAGCAGCTCGAGAGATGGCTCTGGAACTACAGAGGAGGGGGAAAAAAAAAGCAAGACAGAAACCAAAATGCTATGAAAAGCATCTAATAATGAAGTCCAGAAAGAAATGCAGTGTGCCTTCCCATATTTAGAGCTCTGGATATGTCCTGGCATGACAATGCTTTTCTGGAGAACAGGCATTTGCAATATAACTTACAGATAGTTAAGAACAGGTCCCAAAAACAACTGGGAACAATTTAGGGAATCCTAAAAAGTTAAGAGAATAAAGTGAACTTGATAGATGGTGGGGACAAAAAAAAATCAGTTAAAAACCCACGCACACAAACACAAGATTCCTCCGGCCACCTACCCTGCAAATCATCATTTGGTTACTTGCCATTCTACCAATGGCAGCCATGTCTCCAATTGTCAATCTTAAGTTGGAACAAAGACGCYGAAGTCACAAAGAACAGCAAGAACCTGAGGCCCTTTTATCCGCACGAGAGAACCAGGGTAGCAAGAGAGGAGAAGGCATCGCCTAAACGTGAGCTACAGATGTTTAATTTCTTTCATTTCTTTCCACAACACATTCTGCTCAGGTAGAGATAAGCAGAGAAGCAAGATGCTAGTGAATCAATGTAGGCATTTATTCCTCTCCACGCTACTGGCAGTAAGGTGACTATCCAGCCAGTTGCACGTTCTTTGGACCAAAATCCTCACGTGTTCAAGAAAAGCAGAACAGAGGAACAAAATCTGATTTAGCTCAGGTTGCCAATGCCTTCAGGAAGAGAAGATTGCCAGCTCTTACAGGCATGAACTGTTACTTAAGAAAATGTGACTTGCAGTAGACAGACAGAACAAATAAGCAGCCTGCATCACATTCCATTTGAGTTATCAGCATGAAAGGTGTCGTCACAAGTAAGAGCATGAATTGCCTTTACTAATCTGCGTACATCACCCTGATGTCTCTTTAGTGACACGAGGGTTCCTTATAAAGGCTGAAGATAAGATACAGCTGACAGTTATCATTAGGTCTCATCAAATATCCTTAAAATCACTGCGAAATGATTCCTTACCCAAGTAATGATAGATTAAGAAGCAATGGGCAGTTCAAGCTTTCTCAACACAYGCTGAAAACGCTGGCGATTTGACACACACTTTAAGTGTACCTGTACACCTAGCCTAGGAGGAGGGTGAGGATACTGCCACATCCAGTCTAACTGGGGTAGATTTGCCAATGACTTGACATTTTTGAGACCAGAGAATAAATAATGGTTAGATGGCTGAAGCATAATTTCAAAAAATATATGTATTTGGCAGCTGAAACATACAACCAGAAGTTCTGGAGAGGCTTGCACTCTCTCTGTAAGAAAATATATGCTCATTCTTGGCTTCCACTTGCACCTTAAGTGCCGTAATTATTACCCCTTTCGATGATCACCTGAGAGCAAAAGCCAAGAGTTTTTACTCTCAATCCTGTTTCAATGAGCAGAAGCCTGCAACCAACTCCTGAAAATGCATATTTCATAAATATTTCCCCTGCTTTGCCACCATTACTGCAACATAACCCAAACGCCATCCATCTAGAAATCAAAATTACCATACAATTCACTACACATTTAATAAGTGAATTACACTAATGTGAATGCATTACACAGGATTTCCAAAAGGAAGGAAATGCTGATTCACCTACAATGCCTACATCATGATGTACCAAATGCGTATGATATTGGCATATAACATCTATACAATGTCTGCTCTGGAAAACTGTGAGATATTCATGCCACTACTGGCCAAGAGAGCCAGGTTCTTCTGGAGGTCTGGACCACCGTATCTTTATGGGGGAAGAACCCAGTAACCTTTTAGTCAAGCTGCAGAAGCACTACCTAATTCAATAAGACATAACAGAATAGTTAGTAGAGTAAGTAGTAGGTCTTATATTCTAGTAGGAGGCACGATACCAAAAACTGATGGAATCACAATTTTAGAAAGGAATGCTTTGATGAAAGGGATGTTGTTAAACAAAAGGATCCTAAATTAAGATGTCTCCTCAAAAAATCCTTAAGCATGGCATGCATAGATACCCTGAAAGTTTCAGAGAGATACAGCTGAGCTGGTGGTTAATTGCAGCACTTTCCTCACCACTCTCTGTCTTCATCTGCTGCTTGGTGGAAGTGGTAACAGAAGAGCTGAAATACCCTTGCAGGTATTTGCTGACACCCTTGCAGAGGACCAAGTATCTCACTAGCTATCACAACAAGCTGGACTTCAGGAAAGTGAAAAGGTTAACATCTTCAGAAAGATCCAACCACACTAGATGGATGACTCGTATACCAACTAGAGTTCAGTGTTCATTAACCCAAAATAACACTATTTCTCTCTCTCTCTCTCTCTTTTTTTTTTTTAAGATATGCTGTGATGTAAATCAATTGTTTAAAAGAGGAAATGGATCTATAGTCGCCTCAACATACGCCTGAAAACAGCAAATCCAAAGGTATTATCATATACAGGATTAGACGGCAAATAGGAAAATTGCAGCAGTGTTACCTAAATGGTCTGCTACTATGGTCTCCTCAAGAACACTGAGCAATATTTGTAACCCAAATCTTGAAAGGATGGCACGAACTACAAAAGTCGTAGGGACAAAGGACGATTCAAATGGCAAGTTCAACATCCGGAGATATAAAAGTCCTTCTGCATTAGAGATGAAATAGATAGCAAGCCAAAAGAATAAAGCAACCATTTTGTTAATGGCCGAGTTAGATATTTTTAACTCTAGAGATATTTCTTGAAACTTAGTAGGACAAAACAGCATCTCTTTTCCACCACAGAACATAATTCCTCTTTCACACTTTGYTCACCATCCTACCCATAGCAATTCTCCCTAACAGCAGAACACAGAAGGCAGAAAAAAACTGTATAAGAGCAGAACCCTTGCTAGCAGGTATCATTTAGGAAGAGAAAACTTTATAAGAACAGGAAGTGAAATTTAAAAGTTTTTCTGATACATAACTGTAATTAAAAYATCTAAACTAGATTTTATATTAAAGCTAAATTGCTTAAGCAGTAAATTTTATTAAGACCTGTAAAACAAACCACACAAATTAAAATATGCCATGCAAAACAAAAAAACAGCTCAACTCTATTAAAAAAAAAAAAATCTCAACTAGGAGATCACTTCTTTGTGCTTTGTTACAGAAACATCAGCTGTCTTACAGTAGTTACCTGACTTCACCATCACCTCCTTTCAGCAACCTTGAGAGGGGGAGTCTCTGGACAAGAGACTAGGTATCTCCAAGCCCTGTCCAAGTCTTCCATTTGCGGTGAGGACTTGGACAGAAAGATAAAAACACTAATATTACCATCATAGCAACATAGCTGCATTGAGGGTGGGGGGACGCAACTATCTCTTTCAAGACATCACTGAAAACAACACTGCGCTTGGTATTTATGTTCCTGCAATACATAAAAGCTAAGAAATCCCCATCAAGTTTCATATCCTACAAGCTGCGTGCACTCGTGCTAGTTGGAAGAGGCACCTAACCGCTGACTCTGGATAGGCGACACAGAGCAAATCACATATCCAAGGAAACAAAAATTATACATTACCTTCCTCACAAAAAAATAACCATCACATTCTCCGAGTTTTCTTTGAAACCTGGTTTGGAGTAGGGCAGATGATTAAAAAAGACTGCTTTAAGTCAAAAACTTCTACTCCAAGGGGCTCTAGCATGTTACTAGGTACCAGCCAGACAGCAGAACTCTTAATAGAAGAATCTCATCAGTCTGAGCAAAATCCTCCTTCCCTTTAGTCTCCTTAGTTGAGCCCATTCCCCAGGCTTTTACTTTAAATTCGAAGATGTCCAAATTAGAGTATGTATATTTGAAAAAAAAAATATATTTTGCTTATGAAACAGGTCTCTGCACTGTTTCAAATCTGCAAGTTCGATGGAGAGGGATTGAGGAAATAGATGCCAGCCTACTCCGCTTTCAGCTCCTCAAAACTTTGCCAGGAAAGTAGGTTATGGAAAGGTCAGCATTTAGCAAGAATGTCAACATCAGGAGACTGTCATCTTATTAAGTCAATAACTCCCAGCAACGAGCAGGAAAAAAAAAAAAGAAAAAAAAAAAAAAAACCAATGGTGCTACACAGCTCTCCACGCTAAGTAGGTAAAAGTGGAAAAAAAAACCCCAGCTCTATGAGAATTTGCAGGGAAGAGTCTGAGGCTTCCTACAGTACACGCAGACATCTGGGAATTGAAATTGCTGAGATTTCACTACTGAGGAGCACCATCATCACTTGGCAAATCTCAGCTTCACACATTTATTTCATCAACCACAGCCCAAATCGTTTTGTAGAAACCAAGAAGTAGCAAAGGAAAGAGGTTTTGTTAATAAATAAAAATAATAAGCAGAAATTACAAACTTTAGATAAAGCCCTTGGAAGATCACATTTGAATGATCTATAAGACATGACTTGCATTTTAGGACATTGCAAGTAGCTTTTGTTATTGGTTTTGGACTGATTTTTGTGCTACTCTTCACACACACCTTGGAAAAGACCTGGCCTCAAAATAAAGCAGGCAACAATTTATTCTTCAAAAAAGCACATCTTGCTTTCCCAACAGCACCCACAATTTACAGAACCKAACCGAAAAGCTATAAAGTGCCAGTCTCTGATTTGGAAAAGATAAATAATTATAATAACAGCCTAGAATATTCATGTTCTGACATACAACGTTCTAGCTCAACGGTCACTTGTAGATGGTGAACATGAACAAATTCATTTTGAGGAAAGCGAGGCCTTTTATGGCTCAAATTGAAGGAAAACAAGTTAACAGCAGTACCAAGTATCAGCTACCAAAACGGCAGCGAATGGGTGGTCACAGCAAGAGTTAGAAAGCACAATAACCCTCAAGGAAAACTTGACCAACCCTATGAAATGCAACAGGTTTCACATGCATAACAGTACTGCAAATGTAAATATTCATTCTACAGCTAGAAGTAACAGTCTAAGAATTAAACAGTATGATGAATGTACAAACAAGTAGCCCACAAAACCCTTGGGAAAAAAAAAACTCAAAAATGATATAAGAAATTGCCCAAAAGTCCTATCACCAGAATCAATAGGCCCATTCCAAATTGCACCAGCAATAAGCTAAAGACACCAAGCAGCAATAGGCTGAAAATATTAAGGTAACAGCTTGCAGAAAAATGAGCAAGAAACATGAAGTAAATAAATGTAGATTTTTTTTTAAAAAAGCTAATATTTAAAGAGGCAAAATGGGGAGAAAAAAGATAAATGACTGGGGAAAACTTTTCAGTTAGCTCATTATTTAAACAGGAAGACAGCATCCTRAGAGCTTAACAAAAGGATTTAAGCCTTGAAACTTTCACAGCATTTGAGTGAGCTCAGATTAAACCCAAACCATCCCAGAGAGGAGCCCTGGCTCCCGGTCACATCCACATGAAGGCAGAGGTGACACCGGCACCGCTTCCACACTGGGAATACCTCCACAGGGCTTGCTAGGGTCTCACCTACCACCACGACCAGTGTTAACAAGTTAAACAAGTGCTGCGATGACAGGTGCAGGAATTTGTAAGGCACACACTTAAGCCAACGCTGCGAGCAACGCCGGACCCTTCTTGGGGCGAGGCGAGCGGGGCTGCCGGGCACAACGCGGGTGACCGGGGTGCCACCCCGYGTCCCTCGGGACTTCGGCAGAAGGCCGCAGAGGGAAGGTCCGAGGCACTCAGAAGCGGAGCGTGCCCACGCGAGGTGTGGCGAGCGCAGCTCCTGCCCCGCTCGTCGCCGGGCAGGCCCCGCAGCGGCTGCGAGGAGGCCCGCGGCCTCCATAACGCCCCTGAGGGACCCGTCACCGCGCCCCAGCCCTCGGGAGCGGGGGGGGGGGTGCACCCCGCTGCCTGGCAACGGGAAGAGCCCCCGTGGGGGTCGCCTGGCAACAGGGACACCCCCCCCCCCAGAGCGTGAGGGGCGACCCCGTTGCGTGGCAACGGGAAGAGCCCACCCAAGGCGGCGGGGAGGGGCCGGCGCACCGCGGCTCCCCCCCCGCCGCCGCCGCGGGGCCSCTACCTTGTAGACGTCGCCGTAGGTGCCGCTGCCGATGCGCTGGATGAGCTCGAAGTCCTCCTGGGGGTTGCGCCGGGACAGGTCGCACACCCGCCCGCCGCCGCCGCCGCCGCTCATGGTGCCGGGGGAGGCCGCGCTCGGCCGCGGCCCCCGGGGCGGGCGGGCGCAGCTCGGGGGTGGGGGGGAGAGGGCGAGGAGAGGCGGGAGAAGGGAGGGAACCCGACACCGGAGCGCTCACCGCCTCCCCCCGGTCCGCTCGGGCAACATGGCGCCGCCAAACTGCGCAGGCGCGCGCCGCCCTCCTCCCCCCTCCCCTCCGCGCAGCTCCTCCGGGGCGCCGCGACTGCGCGTGACGGCACCGGGGCGGGGGGGGGGTGTTGCGCGCATGCGCGCAGCGGGGCGGCCGGCGCGCCCCGCGCTGAGGGAGCCGCGCGCTGCCCCCGGGCGCCCGTCCACCGGCACCGGGACGAGGCCCGGAGCAGCGGCAGCTGCCGCGAGCGAGCCGCGGAAGGAAACGCCAGGGAATTGAGAGCTCCGGAAAGGCGAGAGGACATCCTGCTGCGGAGCACTGATAGCCCCGGCGCTCCCCGCGCTCGCCTTTCTGCCCGTGTTTTTATTGCCTCGAGGGGGGAAATGGTTTACGTTGGCTCCCAGTTTATGCGCCTGCTGAGATAGGAATTGATATGAATGAAGCAAGCAGGATATTTTTTCCCCTTTTAAATCCCACTTTCTATCCACAGCAGCTGCCCATGCTTCCTCTATTTGCGTAAACAGCTGTGGGTTTCTCAGGTCGCGCCTGTAACTTGTCCGTAGCRAGAGCCGGATGGAGAGCGATGAGCTCCCCTCTGCCTCTGGAAACCCATCACCTGGGCAGCTTCTTCCCCGATCCATGGGCTGGCTTCTGCCGCTTCCTCCTCGSCCTCCTGCCGAGGAGATGCAGGTGCAGAGGGAAGATCTGGGAGTCCTTTCCCAATCACCACTGGGGAAAGGACCAACCCTCATGGAAAGTTACTCCTGGCAGCAAAACCTCACTGCGACCCTTCAGCCAAACTGTGCCAGGATGTAGCTTCCTCCCGTGGTTTCAGGCTAGGGTGAGTAGCTTGGCCTTGAGGTGCACCAGCACGTGCCCCATTTCATAGTTAAAAAGCCCCTTTGCAAGGTGGTGGCCCCCATGCTCTCTCTGCTCTCCCCACACAGGGAGCCTGGGGCACAAGCAGGAACACAGACACAGTGACAGGATAAGGAGTAATGRGTACAAATCAAAACCCAGGCAGTTCAATCTCCAGGTGAGGAAGAACTTCTTCACTGTGATGGTGACAGAGCCCTGGAACAGGCTGCCCAGGGAGGCTGTGGAGTCTCCTTCTCTGGATATCTTCCAAACCCGCCTGGATGKGACTGGGCRCCCCGTGCTCTGGGTGTCCCTGCTGGAGCAGGGGGTTAGACGAGATTATCTCCAGAGGTCCCTTCCAACCTCAACCATTCTGKGAGCACCTTTCCTTGAGCACTTTCAAGGCTTGCCCCTTAAAAAGCACATTCACCAGGTGAAGCGTAAGGTTCCAATTAGGTCACTGGGGGCATAGACTCTAGTACAGCAGCTCCTACCTGTTTCAGCCAAGCTCACGCCTGCCGAGGAACAGAAATGCAGAGGGCAGCTCTTGCTTGAAGAGCTCCTATGGCTGATGCTGGGAATAGCTGTGAGATTTTGCTGTTGTGCCTCTAGGGATCCCAAGCCTTATCCAGTCATCTGTACCCTGCAGCCACAGAAAAGCCTCGCTGAGGCTGGACACGTCRGTATTTCCAGGGCCAGCTGTGGTCATGCCCCATCACTGCTGCCACTGCTTAGGTCTGAAATGCCACTTTGTTCTCTACAGCCCCAACTCCGGCTGCTCGAGGCAGGAGCCCTTTAGCAAGCAGCACTGACAGGCTCCTCTTGGCTTCAGCATGGCGATGCTGACGCGATTCGCTGCTGTCAGCAAAGTCTCCCCAGCCCTCCCAGCCAGCATCTTTCTGTGCTGGATGGACGGGAGAGGTGCTGTATCTACCAAGCAGTCCTGAGGGTGGCCTTMCGAAGACCCAAAGAGCATGTTTAACAGTGGTGCATTCTCAGAATCACCCACAGAAGCGGGCAGATGTTCCTGGGACACTACTGGAGAAACTGCAGTTTGTGTTGGTCCCATGGTTGGTTGATGGTGGTTGCTAATTGTACCCCCAGGGAAAACACATGAGGGAAAGTGTGCAAGGGTGATGCAAAGCTGCTTCCAGCTGTGAGAGGCCAGGAGTCCACCCTGGTCTAGTAGTCTCCTTCTGAAATCACTCCTGAGGTGCAGGGAGAAGAGCTAAACCTCAAACTTTTAGGGCTAACACAAAAGTGCAAAAATGTGGTGCTGCACTTCCAGACAATTCCAGCCACTTGAGCAAMATGCCCCTCAACCTGACGATCCAGCAAGACGAATGGCATCTGCCTGGTGACCAGTGACCCCTGGGGAGGTCACTGCCACATGCTCCCCTTTTCCTGTGGAAAAGGCAGCAATGGGACACTAGTTTGCAGAGGAAGGGGCTAAGCAAGCGGGGTCCCGCCAGGGCCCAACCACCAGCCGTTTTCAGGCAGCCACAATCACACCAGGAAGCATAAATGCCACACAATAAATATTGTTACATTTAGCTTGCTTGTTTTAGCCGCTTTTTACAATCACATCACCTTTCCTCCCACAACACCCAGGGTCTGCAGACGGYGGGTCAAAAAGCTGTTTTGTCATCTCTGGCAAGCACCCAGCAGGAGATTTTTCAGTAGCTGATGTCAGAAACCACGCACTAAACCACGATGGCAGAACCTGTCTGCAAGGAAACTCCCCAGTATTTAGAAAGTGGGGCAAGAACATGTCTGCCTATCCAAGTTGCTTTAAATACAACTCTAGAATAAGACAGCACAGGAAATATCCCTGTGAGCCTGCATAAACCCATACTGCACCTGCATCCTCATTGCTGGATCTGACAGAAGCTTCCTGTACCATTGTGAAGTTTATAACACAGCTAGAAACAGTGTAGCTGTATTGGTCCTGGAAAAAAAAAAATACCTTTCACTTAAAGGTACTTAGAAGTCTGAAGTTATCCCTCCTGGGGTCTGCCCAGCCCCAGCCAGCTGAGCATGCAGCTATTTCTAGGAATTGCTCCCTTCTTCCTGCAGTGGAGGGCATGACTGTTGCACTGCCTGCTCTTTATTTCTTGTTTTCAGTGCAGGCAGAATCAGGGTTTCCTGGGCATGGCTGCAGCAGGTTTTTTCTAGAGGTGCATTGCAGCAGCAGCCAGCTTCTTTTGGGAAGAAAGCCTCCCCCAACACGTTGCAGGCCTTCTGTTCCCAGCGACAGGGAACACATCGCTCCAGCAGGCTAATTACACACCAGGGCTTCACCCCATTCCCCTTGGGCAGGCAGCACACGACACCAGTAAGCAGAACACACCTCTCCTTCTGATCTCTGCTTACCATTCCTTACACAAAGCCAGTCACTTACCCAGACAAGTGCAAAATCCAATAATGAAAAAAGAAAATTGTGGAAAAAAAATGTGAGCCTCATGCAACAGCAGGAAACAGCTCAAGTGACTGCCCGCTGCTTTACATTCAAGTGATCTCCTCCAGAATGGAAGGGGTTCCTTGCTGCAGTATTCAGTCTTTGGTATTTAAGGAATCATATAGTTAAATAATAGGAAATAGAGGAGGGATACACTTAAAAAAGAAGTGTTAGTTACAAAATACAAAGGGAGTTAAGGAAGGAGAGAATGAACAGAGGTAAAAATACCAACAACAGACACCAGCAGAAGTTTGAAGTATCCAAATTCATGAGGATAAGCATAATACTTGTACCGGAGAAAATATTTTGATTCATGCAGCCTATAAAACACAAAGCACTTCCTTTCCCCTTCCCCCCACCTTAAAAAGGAAAAAGGGGAAAAAAAAAAAAAAAGTTTGGAAGGCAGTGGCCCAAGGAAAGGCTCGTTGTGCTTGACTAATTTATCTGCCTAATAGAAAACACTGCTTGGTGAAAAACGCTTAATGAAAAGCRACCCAAGAGAAAGCCTAGACTGGGAGAAGGGTGCCTGCAACCAGCCAGAGAGCAATTTAGCATTGGAGGGACGTGGGGGGAGGCTGGCAAGGGCTGCGCGAGGTAGATGACATGCACAATAACCTTCCGATCAGATTACACGAAGCACACGCAAAATAACTTTTCCTGACTCCTCTGAGGCCCGGAGCCTCGGCTCCCGCCGAGGGCGCCCTGCGTCACAGCCCTAGCTTGCTTGGTGTAATCTGCCACGTGCATCAGAGCTGACTGCAGGTGGARGCTTTAGCTACCTGGCTCTGTTTGCAAGAGCAGAGCAGACATGACTGAAGTCAGAGATTTTTATTCGCAAAGGAGCAACCAGGAAGTTCATGAGACGCAGTTCAATCACAGAGCTAGTCTTGCAAAATTGGGTAATATGCTAAAGCTTTATGTGCTGCCCGAGATAACTTAGCTCGACAAAACTGGGAGCAAGTTATTTGATTAGTAAAGGCTTAATATTTGTTTTATTATTCACCCTATCCTACATCTCAGAATACCAATGTGATTGTTTCACTTACAGGAAGATTTTGCCCTAGATCTCTCTGTACTTAGGCAACCAGTGTATTGCACGTTCTAAGCCCCAACTTTATACTCTTCCTGATGTGGAAGATGGGATACAGCTGGTCTGTATTTTGTGCTTGGTGCATTTGGAGACTTACAGTAGCAGCTGGGTGACTTTGCACAGCTCACCCCTTTGTCACCAGCAGCAAGATTATRCAGCCAAAATCCACCAAAGATTCCTCTGCATGACAGCCCACCCATCGCCAACCCAGTTCAGTGACGGCCAAACACCSTTTCCAGAACTCAGTAAAGAAACAGAAATGAAAATCAAATTCAGAATTCTCAGCATAAAAACATGACTCTTCAAAATCTGATGTGCCAGTCAGTCAAGCAGCACATTCTCCTCTGCTGCCCAGCAAACAGATGGGAAAAGGAGACAGCTCTCAGAACACAGAATAGCTGTTTCACTTCAATATGCTTTGTGCATGTAAAAGACAACAATAGTACAGGATACCTAAAGGTGGATGGGGGAGTCACTGAAAGAATTTAGGGCTATTTCTCTTTTTCAAGTGTTTGTACATTAGAAAAAAAACATCATTGCTGCCAAATGAATGCTTCCCAGAATTACCCCGCTTGCCCCTGGCATGCACAATGTTTTAATTCAGCACTTTTTACCCTTGACCTTCAACACCTTTTGCACTGTACCTTCAAGGAAGGTTTTGGTATGTGTACCCCTGCTGCCCCAACAGGCCCTCCTCTTTTATGGTCAGCGTGCACACTTGTGTCTTTTTGTGCATCAGGAGCATATGTTTGTTGTAACAATATTCCAGCTTGATTCTCTTCTGTACTGTATAATTTCTAAGTAACCAAGGCTTCCATTCTGAGCACTTAAGCTGTACTGAAAGGATTAAGGGACTCCTATCCATTCCTGGAAGGCCTCTTAAATATAAAAAACATTAGCCTCTGTGAAGCAACGAAGTATGTAGTGAAATACCTACCTCTTTTTGTGGCAACTGAAGTTTCATGGCTTGGGCTCTTCTGCAAAGCGGAGGAAGTTCAAAAACCAAGAGGTCCTTCACCTGCATAGTGCTCATGTTAGTGACAGCTCTGACAATGCAGCAGGTTAAGGTTAGAGCCCCAAGGAATCTATCCTCTCCAGACCAAGGAGCTACCCTTGGAAACAGAAGGACTGAGGTGCTAGAAGGCTGGGGGGGGAAGGAACAGAGGACAAACACCTTGTATTTTCCAACACTTAAGTGACAATTCAATTTAACCAACCACAGTAATAAGCCAGTCCATCAGGCAACACTCAAACTGACAGGGCCAGTCCCAGTTAAGAAACTTCAGTATCACACTGAGATCAGTGTATGTGTCAATTCATTCATACCCACCATCCTTTGCCACCACCCAACCCGCCTCGTCTTCAAAGCACAGCATCCACACACTCATTGCCAGAGCGGGCCTTGGAACCTCCTGAGCACAGAGACAGAGCTGGGCTGGACCCTCAGCAGGGCCAAGCAGCCCAGCCTGCACTGCAGAGGAGCCGAGCAGACACTGCAGAAGAAGCAGGGCCACTGGAGAAGCTATTTCAGCAATAGAGATGCACGGTACAAGAAGAACATGAACACAGGAATAGTGAGGGAGACGTTCAGATACAGCCCTCTACAAGCAAAGGATTGGGAAAGGGAGAAGTGAGAGAAAAGCAGTTTGATCAAAGGAGTGAAAGAGGAAAGGTAGAGGCAAGGGTTGTAGCATGGAAGTACTGGAGCTTAATGCGATAACTGTCAATTATATGAAAGCAGAAAAATCAATAGCAACTCAGGCAAAGAAACCCTGCCATGCAAAGCAGATAAAGACCCAACAGATCAATTAATTGATCTGGGAGCAGTCCAGACACCAGCAGCAGGATAAATCAAAGCTAAGCACAGCTTTGGGGCCAGTCTTCCCTTTTCTTTCGCACTTTGCTCTACCACTTAGCAATGTGTTTTAGCAGTTTCTCTTCAAACACTCTTCAGCTCTGCTACAGTCAACTCTTTCCTATTTACAGAGCCTATCTTCTGCAGTAGCCCACTTGATGGAGAAAGACTCTCTCCAGCCACATTTGCTCTATTTGATGGGTCTTGATCCGTTTTGGATAAGCTGAGTGCTAGTCATTAAACAGTAATCCAGCATCAAAAACCTTTACTGAAACACACATGAAAACAGAAAAATAAATAAATATGAAAAACAAAACAATCCCCACAAAGGTGACACCGACCTGGGCAGGTGGCTAACACCACAAGAGGCAGAACTTCAGGCCAGGGGGACCTCGGGCAATTTAAGAATTGTGCCAAAAAAGGCCTTGTGACATTCAGTAACACCAGGAGCTGTGCCTGCTGGATAACCCGGTTCACCAGACCAGGATGGGAGATCTGTGCTGAGCTGCAGCCCTGCTGAGAAGGGTTAGGGGTTACAGCAGGCAGACCACAAGCCAGCAGGGTATCCCTGCTGCTCATACCACACCCCAAGTGGCAAACCACATCCCAAGGGCATTAGGAGCCACAGAGCCAGTCTCTTACTCAGGTAAAATACCTTTTCAGGATCAAAAACAAATAAACAAATGAACTAATAACAACAACACAAACCACACAGCCCTGCAGGCACTGTTAAGCAGCATGGTCTCTGCACTAACCGTGGCAAAGGAACACACTGCCCAATTCCACCCCAGCTTGCCACGCCGCAAACTCATCCGAAGTATCCTCTGAAAATCTGCAATAACTCTTTATATAAATTCTTCACCATTTCCTGAGCAGCTGCAGTAAAGCTTTGAGTTAGACTGCATCCCCAAAAATACCTTTTTCATATACTAAAAGAATTTAAGACCTCTCCAGCAGAGCTTTTCCATATGCCTTTTTGCAGGCAGAAGTTACCTTCAGCTGAAAGCTTCCCCCATCTTCCCCATTACACCCCTAAAGGCACATTACCAAGTAAGGGAAAACACTGCTGGCAGCAAGATGTCTCTTCACATTTAAACTGAAGCATAAATGGCCTGATAGAAACATGCTTTAGCTGCAAAGAAGTGACATAGAAAACAGTTTATTTCCTTTCCAACAGATCTGAACAGTAATTTCAGATGCGTCCTAGCTTTAAAATAGTACAAGGCTGCAAACACCCAGCTCTCAAGAGCCAGATACACCTTACCAAAAACAGCTTCCTAAAAAAAATACTGCCAAAGATGAAAATCCATTTAATATTACTAAAAGTTTTTTTTTTAAATGCTGAAAAATAATACCTATCTCCATCCTTCTCCTGATAATGAGAAGTTTTGAAGAAACCCTTATCACATCCAAGTCAGAGGAGCCAACAAGTAGCACAGGCTTCAGATTTGCAGGGTTGCAGTGTTCCACCACTGTGCTGCTTTCAAATATATCAGGATTCAAGTTGCATACTACAAGAAAGCTACTGATTCCCAGCAGTAGAGATCTTCTTGTATTTGTGTATGAAAGCATCTGTCTTTCCCAGGCTAACCCCATAGACGCCATCCAGCACCAGTGACCCAAAACACATCTGTCTGCTGCCAAGAAAGGATTCTTCAACATCAGGCACCGCAGAGGAAGAATTCCCATTGACATCCGAGGTTTTCACCGTGGTGGTTTCATTTGCACCATCAGACACAGCTTTAGGAGACCCATCGCTTTCAACACGCTTCATCACCTCATCCATGTCCTTAYGGAGGTCTTGACCGAGCAGCAATACAAGACTCCCTCCAACACGAAGTACTCTGGCAATTGCAGGAAAACAAAGGTTAGGTGTCCATTCCCCAGCACTCACCGAGTTGTGCAGAACTCTGCATGACTGATATTTCAGATGCCCCTGGTATTCAACAGAAGATTTAAGCAAGTGAAGGGTCACAGCCTGAAGCAGGCCCAGTCTCCAAACCTTTGTTAATTCTTCCTACACGGGAGAACTGGGCCCTTTACTGACTTCCAAACATTTCTGACTTCAGGAAGTCTTTACATTTGGCTAGCAGGGAAGATAGATCCAATTATCAAAGTCTTAATTATTTCAAGAATTAGGGCCAGTATCACCTTAAAAGACACTTTTGTGTGCGTGTGTGTGTGTGTGTGTGTGTGTGTGTGTGTGTGTGGCGGGGTGGGGGATAGGTCTCAGGAGCAGCAAAATGCATCAACCTGCAAAGGACCAGCATCCCATTAAAGCAAGAAAAGGGTCAGAGGTGGAATCTTTTCAAGTGTGTAGGACAGTTCAGAAGGTGCCCCCCACCTCTCTCTCTCTCTCTCTGGTGTTTTTGAAGACCTGTCTTCGCACGCTTTACTACTAACTGAAGTCTTTAAACCCAGGAAACTCATGTAGATTGACTACTGTTTGCAATCTGATTATTTCTTAGCACATAAGGAAACTTTACACTTGACTTTGCAAGAGGAAGAGACCACATGGGCTCTATTTACAGTAAGCAGATGAACAAGTCCATCTCCATTATCCCACGGAAATATTCTGCTTAGGACAACCCAAAAGACAAAGCGAAAGAAGAGAAGGTGAAAGTGTCCAACAAGACCAAAGGGAAGTACAGTCAGCATAAACTGAYCTAAGATTGCCCTGATACTCTGGAACTACCCCACCTCCTTCACCATCTTCTTCCCATATCCCTGCTACTCGGTAAGTCAGATCAATATCCAGCTGAAGAGTAACCTTGCAGAAAGGGCTTGCTTTGAGACAAAAACATCTTGGGGCAGAGAAGTGGGGGGCAGTTCAGTATTAGTTTGGCTTCACTTTGCCATGACATAACAGGTGAGACAGATACACACAAAAAAATAGGAAAAGAAAAGAGAACAAGAGAGAGAAATACCAAAAAGATACAAAAAGAGGCATTTAAAAGAAAACCAGGCAGGTTATTCCAGTGAACTGACTGACTGGGGAGAACAAGCCTATCACCATTTTCTGGTCTAGAATCTTTCCTGCTAAGTCAGACTGCTAATGAACTTGGCTGTGAACTCAAAAGGAACATCTATGATTTAATACAAGCAAACCTCAACCAAAAAAAAACAGGAGTAGTGCTTAATTTGCTCAGCCTTACTTCAAGTTTGGCTAGATTATCCCCTTCTTTCTCAAAAGTCTTCCCTCTTTTRCCTTTATCTGTAGCCATCCTGATATGAGAAGAATGCTTGTAAGCACAGCTTAAGCAACACCCACTACCAGTCTGTGCTGCCACCAGCACTGCCACAGCTTGTGAGAGAGGCCACAAGAGTTTTTAAGGCAGAAATAAAAACAAATCTCAGACCTCCATCACCTTCCCAGGATCAGGCTGCAGAGCCAGAGAGTGCTCAGAACAGAGCAAAGCTGAAGCTCACAATGTTTAGTACTGCAAACCATCAGTACATTTATRCCACATCCCAAGCACGTCAAACACCACACGTACCTCTCCATCTCCTGGAGAATGTCTGGTAGGTACGGAACATCTTTTGTGATCTTGAACTTCTTCCCAAATGGAATATCAGAAATCACAGTGTCRAAGCTTTCTGAAGGCAGTGGCAATGCTGCAGAATAAAAGCAGGTCTTTACATCTCACTATCCGAAAAACATCCAGGAGCTTCACTGCCAGTGACCTTACAAAAATATCTGCCTGCTCTTCCAAAGGTTAGGCACTCAAACCCCAAGCTCCTTCAGAGACTCTATTTATCTGCACTAACAGTCTACGAGGCCAATCCAATGCAAACTGAGTAAAGACAGTGACAGAAAGTGATAGTTTAGCTCATGAATTCTGTTACTGGCAATACGACTGCCCCATCAGTAAGACTCTCCAAAATGGGATGTTTCCAAATAAACTGCTGCTTCTCAACATGCCTCTTTACATGTCAAGCATGGGAGAAGAGTTAAGCTTGCAAGTACTTTACATAGTGCAGATGTTCAAATGCAGACACAATGCAAGGAACCAGATGTTCAATCTGCATCCTCCCCAGGAATACTTAGTTTTCTCTTTCCAACTTTTATGAAAAGGTTGGAGAGTACGTTGGTGGGTCCAGGCCAGTAACCAACTGGCTGGGGAGCAGCCCTGTAGAAGTAGATCTGTGAACTGCTGATGAACAAGGAGTCAAGCGTGACCCAGCAGAGCACCTCTGTGGTGACAAAGGCCAACCACATATTGGGCTGTGCTGGCCAGAGCTTAGACAGTACGTTGAAGGAAAAGAGGTTTCCCATCCCTGGAAAAGCTCAAAACCAAGCAACTTAACTTGGCTTTGGGGTTAGCCCTAAATAGAAAAGTCAGACTAAACTTCTAGAGGTCTCCCCCACTTAAATCCTGCTGTAATCCCATGCCAGCCTTTCCAGAAGGGCTAGAGGTCTTTCTTCAGTCATGCTGGGGTCGGCACTTACAGTAAAACATTTTATCTACAAGTGGAAGGACAAGTTACCTACAGTCCTTCACAAAAGATGCAGAAAGAACAGTTTCCGAGTGATGCCTAAGACACCAGCTCTAGTTGTTCAGTATAAGGAAAGCCTGACATCAGGGTATCTCCTAGAAGGCAAGCTCTAAGGTCTTGATAACCAACTGTTCTAACAAGAAATATTTACTTCTTATTGCAAGGAAAGAGAAATGCTTATTCTCCGTCCACTTGTGTACACGGGAGAACACGCAGCTTCTGTCTGTCAAGAATTTCAAATAAGACTAATTCAGATTCAAGCTCTGAGGCCCAGAACATCATAAAAGGCCTACAACCTTCTTCCCAAAGCAGCTCATGAACTGAGAATTTACCAGTTACCTCTTTCAATAAAGAGTCACCAACATTTCAAGTATGTCCACTGGAAAACAGTAATAACTCAACATTACGTTTTATTCATCCGGTTAAATTGAAATTACAACCCGCACTATATACAAATTTGCCTTCATTGTGCTCCCACAATATACAGAAACTCTCATGTTGCAAACAATGTGAAACGTGCAACCATGAAGACTAATATACAAAATTACTGCTCACGTCTAAATACTATTTTGCTGTCTTCTACCAAATTTATTCTTGCTAAAGTTCAGAAAACAAGTATCCACTCACGAGCATTGCAGAGGGTCACCTCGCAGATATTTGTTACAAGTTACCTCTAGTACAGATCATCTACTAGAACTACACTACATGCATAGCCCCAGGAGTACAAGCGACTTTAAACAGGCCTTTCTTTGAACATTTTACAGCCATACCTTTCACAGAAGCTTTAAGTAACTCAATCTTATCCATCAAGCCTGCACTCCTAATATTTGTATATGCACCCTCTAACTGTGAATCGCTTATATCAGCACCCCAGTAACAGGCTTCCTGTTCAGAGGAAAAAAAAAAAAAAGTCATTAAAAGTCATTTAATTGACAAACAGGTATATTTATTTTATAAACCCTCCGTAATACCTTTGTTGCAGGACAAACCCTTTGCTGGGGGGTTTCACTAATATGACACAAGAGCAATAGAGACCAAGAGGACGGAGGAAGGGGGAAATTTGTGACATCTTCACACCTTTCATGTCCTCCGCTGCTCAAAAGACCGGCGGGAGAAACACAGGCTACGTCATAACAGGAAGATCTCAGCTGCTTATTTATGGCTAGCATGCATTGACTCTAATGCCAACAGCTCATTGCACTGTCCTATAGACACTTCCATTCCCATAATAAATGGGAATCCATATCCAATCCATAATTTCAGGCATAAAAATAAAGTAGCCCATGGYTGACTCAAACCTTGCATGCATACAGGGCTCCAGGCATCCTTCCATATAAGGATGTAGGAGCTGCATGTTTTACACCTATGTGAAGGAGTGTCTGCACTAAATCATATTCAGCACCTGTCTGGAAAGACCTATTTGGTTGCAGTTTTCCAGTAAGAAAATGGACTTTAGTATCACCGTGATAGAGATTTCTCCTGATGCCACTACAAGCAGTCTTGCAAGGGTCCTACCTACTGTGGCTGCTGTACTTACAGGCCACTCTTTGGCAGCTTCCAGCAGGATTGTTCCTAACCCGCACATCGGATCCAGGACAAARGCACCTGCCTACAAAGACAAAAGGCTTTAGAGCATCCCAAGCAAGGTAACAGACTCCTCTCAGTGCAAAGCTTCCTTCAACGTATTTGTCACCTATAAATTACCACTGAACCCAACAAGGGTAACAGTGATCATTTCCTTAYCACATCAAAATTGCTTTCAAGGCAGTATAGCAAACATACTTCATGAATAACTTCATTAAAGATAATACATCAAATGTTTCCAATCTCAAGGTGGTATTTGGGAAACAGAGAAACACTTGAGTGTAGACAGATATTGGTATCAAGATAATTATTGAAAAAGATCATTCTCACTCTCATTGGGAAGGAAAAATCCCAAACAAGGCTGGATGTACRAACAATGTAAAAAGATGTGCAATTTAAACAGTGCAGGGAGGAACAGTCTGACTGAAAAGGACTGGGGTTACATCAGGTATCAGGCTGAACATAAGCTGAACATACTGTGCTTGTGTCAGAAAGCAGACAAACCCTACCCTAGACTGCACTATGAATGAACAATGTCCACTATAATCTATCTTCATATATATAAAAATATAACTAATTTATATATTTACATTATATTTATATCTACATAAATTTAAATAACTTATTTTACATATATAAATTATATATATAAAAATATATACACACACACACAAAAAAAAMCTAATACTATTCTAGGCTTTCACACTTGTGTTTGAAACTCAGCACCAATATTGTGACTTGGATCACAGTATAGGCACTAAGAGTTTAATACTTCAGACTCATAGCTTCCTTTCTGACTGGCAGCTGTACTCCTTCATTCGAGTGTCTACCCCTCTGCCAAGAACACTCACACGGATTTCAGCCAGAGATGCCATGGCCCAGGCAATAGTTGATCTCAGTCCTGCTGTTTGGATATACTCCCTGTTTGCCAACGGAATCCTGCAGACAGCAAGAGCAACATGAAGTTATGGTACAATCAAGCCTGAAGGGTCCACATAGCATGAAAGACCAATGGAAGTAGAATTCTTAGACTGGCAAATAGAAAACAATCTGTTTTCATCTTTGAACTCCTTGTGAAGTCTAGCCTACTTGCTCAGGAAAGTCATAGATAACATGACAGCCCAATGAACATTAAATCGGACAATAAATAACAACGGTGGGCAACAATAAATAATAACTGTTTAGAAATGTTTGTTCTGGTACTGCTGAAAGAGCTGGTGATGAGAATGCCTACCTGAAAAGAGGAATTCCCAAGACAGAGTGAATGTCATTTAGATGCACAAAAATCTGAAATACAGCAAACAAGAACAACATTAAAATTTGTCAGTTAGACATCATGTAAATTTAATTCCCTTAAGCCATACTCTGAGGTTGTTTCTATAAATGCYTGATCCTAGCTGAACAACAAAAATACTTTAGAAAATTATCATTAACTGGAAGAAGTCACAGCGGGTGTAAGAATCAAAATCTTTATGGGAACCAATTGTTTGTAGTTTTAAAAGGATATCTTTGACTTGAAAAACATTTATTCTAAGCAGGAGAAGCTAGTTAGCTGTATACACTGGCACCAGGTAATTTTGATGAAAAATCATCCAAAAAATGTTAATTACTATTCATCTCCCTCTCCTTTCCCTTYTACCTTGCCTTTCAAATGAGTTCCTTTACCCAGCATTTCAGATAGAAGGAAGATGTGGATAATACTTCCAGAAATACATACAGCTTCAAGAGCTTGTGCTCCTGTGCCATAAAAAGCATGTCAAAAGAGAAGGCTCTGAGCTGTCCAACAGATGTTTTGTGAATGCAATCCCTTCCCAAGAAGCCCAAAGGAAGATTCTTGATTCTTAAAGAATCCCTATATCCCTCAGTTTTGCTCTGAGTTTTGTAGCAAAAGTCAGATCAAATTATGAGCAAGCTCTCCATTCCTGGTTCAGTGAAGCCTTATTTGATGCAAGGCCTGGCAAAAATGGAACCAGTGGATGAAGTGAGAGCTTTCATGGAAGGTCTCAGTCTCCCCAACATCAGCGCTGACAGCAGCTTCTGTATGCCAAGCACAGGGATGCATAAAGCTTGTCATGAGCAGTGAACCCTAACCCCTAACGTCCCAGACAGTCTGCAAAACAGAGGGCATCTTAACCAAGCTGCTTGCAAGAGTCAGTCTAGGAGATGCACAGGACTGCAAGCTCCTTCCTTAACTGAGTTCTCAAATATGGAGTTCATCAAGAAAAGGCCCTTGTTGCCTTCTCTTTTTCTGCCCCCCCGCCACAGACTGCTGGGGAGAACTGGCTGCCCAAYGGCTCAGGTGAACTCCACCTTTAACAGTCAGCCAGAGCCCAAGAGTCTGTAAGGGTGCAGGTTTCTGCCCTGTTCCCTGGACTGATCCTTCCTAACAGTACATGCTCCTGCAGATCTTTCTGTATTTAGGTGAACTGAAAGGCTTGTGAAAGCTGGTGGTGAACAGTTTCACTGTGTGCAACCAGTTCTTCTCTGGTTAAATGCAGCAGCAGAGAGACAAATAGGCAGAGTCTGCAGTTCAGCATGCAAAGGGAAAGGGAAAAAAAAAACAACACAGGAGACGCAAGGTAAACTCAAAAGCAGCAAGCGAGTGCTTGGCAGAGAAACAGCATTACCTCTAGATCTGGATTCCGCAAGTCTGCCCTCCATCCAAACTGCTTCATAAGTGCTATGCCAATGGCTCTTCCAATCTCCTGTGAGAAGAAAGAATAATAACGTGCAATTAGCACAATTAAGAAAGCTACAGATAGAGGGAGAAAGACATCACTTTAGTCTTTATACAACATCCCTAAGGCCATAGCTTTCATTGTACAATCCTTGTAAATACCTGGGAAGATGCACAGCCTCTCTTTAATCCCTTCAGAAATACTCATGCAAAGGCCTGAAGAAATGCAAGAAAGTCGAACAAGACAGACACAGAGTAAACTTGCTGTCAGACAAAATGGTTATTATTCACCTGGAATACGCAAGGCTGAAGTTCAAGTCCTGCCTAAGTTACAACACACACTCTCATGGCTAAAAATAAATGCATAAGTGTATAACKCACAAAAAAGCTTATATATTTATGCATATATTGCATACATATAAGCACACACACATACAGCCTCTAAAACTTTTTTGCTATCTTCAGACCAAGAGCTCAAACTCACACTTACGCAAACATTTGTACTGGCATGCTTACAGCACCCCACCTCTCCAGGCACTAACTTTAACAGGGCAGGAGAAGTAGTAGTGGTAGTTAAAATACTTATTTTCAGTGACAAGGACCTACCCCTGGGTAGGTGTCCCAGAGCTGCACTCCCCTTCTGGGGAATGTGTTTTCCYCCCCTCAAACAGCCCCAAACAAGGCTGTACTTCTCAAGTTGCAATGCACAGCCTTTGCACCTTGTTACACTACCATGCACAAACAAGAGGAGATGGCTCTGAAGCCTTTGAAAGGGTTCCTCAGGTAAGCACGATGTGCTAGATGGTTGCTACCAAGACTGCATCAGCTTTCACAGGCCCAGCTACCTCTACCTAAACATCATCTACCTATTCTCAGCAGGAAACACTGATGAAAACCATTCAGGGTAATATCTTACCTCAAACTGAACACCACTGCTTGCATTTCTATTTGCCAAAAGTAAAGCAGTTTACATTCTTTTTGAGAAAATACACAAACAGATTCCAGAACATACAGCACAATTTAAATTGCAAATAAACTACACGTTTCCTTCCGCCTTCACTAATTTGTTTCAAAACACAGATAATTTAGTATACCTGTGAAGTAAGTATTTTGGCAATTGCTCCACTACAGCGACAAGAAACTCTGAAACTGAAGCTATGTTTCTCATTAYCAACATCTTTCTCTTCATTGCTTTGGGAAAGTTCTTCTCTAGAAGTCTGGCTTTCAGTCCCAAAGTCCTGATCACTCTTTGTCACCAAGCAGCTCTTCTCAGCTCCTGCTTGGCACTCCTCAGAAACAGTATCTGTCTTCTGTCGTTTAGCTGCAATATTCACCTCTTCTTCTGGTTTTCTCTTGAGAGGCAAAGGATTTTCTTGAGAGACATCATCCTTTTCCTCCTTGTGTCCACAAAGATTTTTCCAAATAGAGATAATATCAAGCCAGTTCCTTGGTTCCTCAGTGACAAGACTTTTAATTTCATGCAATGCTTTCCCTGCAAGAAAAAGACCTTTCAGGTTAATCAGCTTAATCTCAGCATTTGATTCTCCTGATAGCAGATGCTCACAGTGTTTCAACTTCATTAACATTTGAACCCAGGAACTACAGCACTACAGATTAAACACAACTGAGCTCCCCAATGCTCATGTACCCCATCGACAGACAGGCACGTAACAGTCCAATGCAGACTCTGTCGAACCATGAGTAAGTTTTGCAAATTTGGAATTTGAATATTTGTATAAATTCAGCACTATCAGAAGACTACACCACTTCTAGACTCATTCCTGGAGACTGGGGACTAGTCCACCATGTCACCTTCCCCATAAAGCACTCAGTCCAGGGTTACAGACATCAGACACTTTCCCAGATAGAAAAAGAGACACAGACACAAATCATTTTGGTTTACTGTATAAACAAATAAACTTTTATTATAAGCTGAATATGTTCATCTCCTTCAAACCTGGAGCCCCTCATGCACGCCTCAGTTTTCACCCATGCGCAGTCCTGTTGACTTATGTACGATAAAAGGGAAGATAACGCTACAAATATATAGCACAATTCATATAAAAACTTACAAGCTGGTGATGTAAAGAAAGTTTAGATGCCCCTATTTCTCACTTTATGCTTTAGAGTCCATGGATTCTTGAAATTAAAGACTATATCAGAGATAAAAAGGCACCAGCACATGGACATTCATCTCTCTTCTCCAACACTGAGACAATATTGTAACCCGAAGGACTTAAATTTACAAAAAAAAWGTGGTCAAAATCTGTTATGTGACACAGGACACACATGAGGGTCTGCTTGCTTGTAGGGAAAACATAATATGTCCCTTGAGCTGAATTTGAGTTTTAGAAGCTTTTTTAGGTGAAGGTTATTGGGGGTGACAGAGTCCTGGAAGACTCTGTCCAGAGAGGCTGTGGAGTCTCCTTCTCTGGAGATCTTCAAAACCTGTCTGGATGATCTGGGTGTCCCCACTGGAGCAGAGGGTTGGACTACATGATCTCTTGAGGTCCTTTCCAGCCTCAACCATTTTGTGAAGGTGGGGTTGTACACACAGCACCAGCAACAGACAAACTAACACGATTAGCCATTTAAAACAGCTTTCTTCTGAGCTTTCTCCTGGCTGTTTTCGGCACAAATGAAAAATAAAAATCCAGGGGAGCCTTTGAACACGAGACCCTGCTTATTCTCCATGAGAACAATACCTTTATTTCTAGAGAGGTGCAGGGGGGCACGTCTCCTCAGCAGCAGGAACAACCGCTCCCCGGACTTGAGCTTCCTCAGGTCACACAGCTCTGCCCGGGTGGTGAAGAACACCTTCCCCGAAACGTAGTCCACCTACGGGACGGGAGGGCATGGGAGCACGAGGATAACGGGAAGAAACGTAGCAACAACAAAACAAAAGAGGTAGAAAAAAAAAAAAAAAAAGAGAAAAATAAATAAATAAATGAAGAAAGCGACTTGCCACTTGCTGGAGCGGCTCTGCAGCGCCACCGCACGCTCCCTCCTCCACCTTCTCCCTCACCCCGGCGGCGCTGAGGCGACCTGCGGCCGGCCGCCGCCCGGCCCTGCTCACCTCCGTGGCGCCGAGCCGCGCCCGCACCTCCTGCGCCGCGAAAGGCTCCATGCCGCGGCCCGCCGTGCAGAAGTAGCGCTCGGGGCGCGCCATGCCGGCCCGCCGCCATTTCGCGCCGCCCCCGCCGCCATTTCGCACCGCCCCCCTGGCCTGGCGAGGGCGCAGGCGGGAACAGGGCGGCGGGGCGAGGAGGTGCGGGGCGGTGCGCACCCGTGTCGTTTAGTGCTTGTACCTTCCCTCGGGGCGATGTGCGAGGCGGCTGTTGCTGCTCCGTGTCCTCAGCTTGGACGTTATCCTCTTGCAGCGATGTTGCGGTTTTCATCATGGTGGGTTGGCAGCACCTAGAGCTCTTTGCCAGAGTGAACGTGATGTTTGTGTGCCTGGTTTCTTTTACTGTGCTCGCTAATACACTTCACCTGTCTCCCCACGGCTCTGCATTTCTCTGTGCCTGGTTGTGGTAGAGCTGTTAGCTATCCCATGCAGCAGGGAATAACCAACCACCCATTTACAGCAGTCCCATGGTGGTCCCGCACGAAGCTCACCCAAAGTAAAACAAATGAGAGTGTGGTCGATCCGAGAAACTGCTGCCAAAGCCAAAGCAGCTTAAAAACACCAGGCAGGCACCGTGCTGGGAGCGTTTGCTCCTCAGTGTCCCTTGGAGCACCAGAGGTTGAGGCTGGCTCCCTGCTCCATGGACTCGCTGTAGCATTTCTGCTGCCTGTTCAGGGTGGCAGGCTCTCCAGAAAAGTCAAAGCATAGAAAACAATAAGCCAATACCTATCATAATGACATACGGTAGAAACATTGCTACTTAAGAGTCATAAGATTCCAGTAGATGACAGGCAAATGTAATGTGCTCACAGAGCATTAGCTATAATCCCACAGACACCCCCTTGCAACAGATACCCTCATTCCGAGGGGTCTTGATCTTTATGGACCCTATTTAATTAATCCTGATTATATTGTGATACATATCTCCGGAGAAGCATAATTTTGTTCCCAACTGTTACAAAAGCACATAAATGTTATCTCAGCTAATAGTAACRGCATACTAAGTGAAACACCGATAAGATATGTAAAAACACGTGTAATGTGTCCTGGGGCCAAACTCCAGTCTGTCCTGCCAGCAGCTGCTTGATACAGTTAAAATTTCATAGCTATCAGGGCCAATTCTCCTTGCTACAACTGATGTTCATTTGCTTCACTGAATATACTTAATATACACTGAATATACACTGAATTATACCATGTTGTATGCATTTATTATAAATTATGGATATGATATATATAAAATTAAAAGTACATAAATATATGTATATAATTTTTATATAGATATAATAAAATATATGTTATAAATATAAACATATATCAACATATATACACTATGTATTGTATACCCACTTTATTGAAGTCTTTTCAATTCGGTACTTACGTTGTTGCGGTTTTTTTTTTCTTGATTTTGAAACACGAATGAAACAAGGAGAATCATCCCCTTTTATTAGGCGACGATCACAGAAATAACCCTTTTTAATGGGAAGCCGAGTACCCATTTACAGAGGTCTCTTGTACCCAGTTAGTGAACTATTAACGTGCTGCGGGAGAGAGCGGCACCCGTGCTCCTTGCTGTGACTGTGCCCTCACTGGGCAGCGGTGGGGAGAGTCTGGGCTCTGTCCTCCCCAGTTCCTCTGGCCTCCAGTGCTGGATGGGGATGCTGCAGTGAAGCAGGATCTTGAGGGCTGCTCCCAGTGTGGCCCCTGCAAGATCCCGGCTGAGCTCCCGTGCACCCAAGGGACACACAGGACTCTCAGCTTTCCCAGCAGAGTGACACACCTCAGGTCCATCGGCCCTGCTGCCCAGGGTTTGCTGCTAGCAGCACTCAGAGCCCCTGCTGGCACCTGCACCGTGTGGTTCAGGCTCCAGTGGCCACGGAGAACCCCCGGGCACAGAGCTCGGCGGCACCTGCAGTATTTGCGGACACATTCACCTGCCGGTGGGATGGAAGGAGGGAGGGAGCGAGGGAGGGTGGAGAGGAGGAGGGCAGACGCGTTTGGCAGCCGCCCACAGCAGTCAGAGCCAGAACCGCTGGCAGGCACCGGCGGGAAAGACTCGCCATGTCCTCGGCCACCTCCACCGCCTCCTTGCCCAGCGGCCTGGCGGTGCTGACCACCTTCCCTGATGTGCTCTTCATCCCCGAAATCGTGAGTGTCCGCGTGCTGCCGCGCTGCGCTGCCGGGGCCCGAGAGCCGCGATGCCGAGGGGCACCCGCCTCACCCCAAGCCTGCCCTCGGCCCGCTCTGCTGGGGAATTCCATGGGGAAGGGGAGCRAGGAGATGAGCTGAGCGTGGGGGAAGAGGGAACGGGTTCTTGCTGCTCCTTCGCGCCTTRTAGTCCCTCCAGACCCAATTGTCCCACAGTTTGAGTGGCTTTTGTTGGACCTTCGCCTCCAGCCAGCATTGAGCCATCCAGCCGAGGGCCTGAGGAGGGGGCTTATGTTATTTCATGCCAAAAACAATTGCTTTGCCATGAAAATCTTCCCCGCCACCTCACCCAGCCTATCTCCCCAGGACCCACACCATTTACTTCCACCACCCAGCAACAGCCAGCAAGCAAAGAGGAATGGGGCTAAACTGCCATTCCTGARGCCTGGAAAGGTTGTGCCTTCATCCCAGCCCATCCCAGCCACTCCAGTGCCCTCCATGCCTCCAACTTGTCATTCCTCTTGCCAGGGGATTTGGCCCAACAGCTTAAAGCAGGGAGGAAACACCCCACAAACTATCCTCTGTTCGGGAAAGGCTTGGCAATGTGTGTACAAAGGGCCTGGGCACTGGGAGGGAGGATGGAGGAATGCCGAAAAGTCAGATTTCAGCATTTTATCTCCATCTCGGGCAGTTTACAGCGAGGTTGTGCTGCTGTGCTCTCCCCACTGTGTACAAAGGAGGAGGCTCCCCTGAATCACAGCATTCACAACGTGTCCCAGCCCTCAGGGAAACACAAGGTCTCCCGCAGAAGGTCTATAGCGACATCTCAAGCATTTGGACAATTGTTAAGGCCAGAAGGGCCCGTGTGCGGCACAGATGATTGCCACGTTGGGCTGCGCTGATTAATCCCTATTTATTCTGTGAATTCTGCTCAATTCTGATCATCTGCCTTATTTGAGGAGCTTTTTGGATTAAATTTAGCAGCCAGGCTAAGTTAGGGAAACCAAAAAGGGCTACAGTCAGATTTGGACTGTGAAGGAGATGCTCCATTTGAAAGAAGGTTTTCTCAGATTGCATTGCCCATCCTGCTGGATGTGGTTGCAGAAGGAGCCTCTTGCTGCTTTGCTGGTTTTTAATGAGAGGCTGAACAACACTACCACAAAACCAAGGCAGCTATGGGAAACGTGTTTGCCCAACTGAGAAATCAAATTGTGTGGCAAAGAGACCCGGGAGGTGGCAGGAAACACGAAGTGGTGCTTCCCAGCCTGACCTCAGAGCTGACCCCGATTTTGCTGATTTTTAGTGCAGTATTTGCATGCTTTCCCTGGGATCTGCACTGCAGTCATGTAGTCTCCATGCAGGAGTTGTTAGAGGGCCTGGGTTTGTGTTCAGGTGTTGGTGTTTGGTTGAGATGGGACATGCCAACGAAGCAGCACTTTGTAAGAGCCTTTTCCTTCCAGGGATTTGCAAGGTCACAGCCACGTCCTTGATCTAACTTGCATATTTTCACTATGAAAGCAGTAAGGTGTTTCCTCCTACAATCTGGGCTGAAGCGAATTACATGACATTTTCTGAGTATCATAAAGCAGAGGAAAGCCTCTTTCCGGCTTGCAAAATGCCTCCAAGGAAGTGGAAATGCCATGATTTGTAGCAGCTAGCACCTGGATGGCGGTGAAGCCTGGCCTTGTTGATCGGCCACATGATCCTAACATCAGCAGGGCTCGCTTGCCTTCAGGGAATCCACCAGCAACTCTGAGAGCTGCCAGTGAGGAGCAATGGGTCCGCATGGCAGCACCACCCTGCAGGCTCTGCGGGTTCTCCGGAGGAGCTCCTCACTGCATGGTGCTGGGCAGCCCCAAGTTTGCAGACGTCCAGAAAAACTGGGTTGATTTGTTGCAGAAGCAAGCCGTGCATTCCAGCACAAAGACACTGCTGGTGCAGGGCTACGGGTCCTGCCCTCGCTCTTTTGCATGGGAGCCGGTCGGTGGAGAAAGGACAGGATAGATGCAACTGTTCTCGTGCTGCCCATGCTATTGGACACCCCATAGCAGCTCCTCGGGCCTGCTGAAGATGAGGTCCCACCGCCACCTCACCAGCAGCTTGGAGCTCACTCAGCCCCTGTGCAGCCCACAGTGGAGGACCCCAATGGCCCGAGCAGCAGCGCAAACCTGTCCTCCCAGTGGTGCTGCAACTCTATTTCTCCCACCTCAGGCAGTAAAACTCACTGCATTATCTGTCTTCACACCCTGCTTCTCGGGTGGCATTTGCACGGGGTCTCTGTTAACCCACGGGCCCGTGCTTTTTGTGTGGGTGGGCCAGGTTTGGCACAGCTCCTTTCAGCCACATGTTGCTCCTCTTTGGCTTGCAGATCTTTGGGGGCCTCGTCTGGATCCTCGTGGCCTCCACCACGGTCATGGTTCCCATGGCACAAGGCTGGATAATGTTCGTCTCGGTGTTCTGCTTCGTCATGTCCATCTCCCTCCTGTGCCTCTACCTTTGCGGGGTGCACGGCGGCAGCCGCTCCTGGGTCACCTTGGTAAGCGTCACCACCAAAAGCGTCACCTTTTGCTCCTGCTCTGCGTCGTGCTGGGCCTTGGGGAGCACGTTGCCCTCCAATGCCCACTGCACCTCCCTTGCTTCGCAGGACGCCTTCTGCCAGGGCACCGCCGCGCTCTTCTACCTCAGCGCCGCTGTGCTTGAAGCCTACATCACCTACAACTACAGTAACACCCTTCTATACACCATCTATAAGGAGAACATTGCTGCTGTGGTGAGTCCACGGTGGGGGACAGGCACGTGGGGGCTGCAGGGCAGGCTCGGGGCAAATCTTTAACCAGGCTAAGCACATGGCATGGGAGAAACTCATTCCTGACAAGGGAGAAACTCATTCCTGCCCTGCTTCATGTGAGTATCTCCCGCTGGGCAAAAGTCAACACTAATATAACATGTTACGAGGCGGTTGCACAATACGAGGAAACATGCGCTGTAATAAAAAGTTAACTGGCTGATACGTTTTTCCATTGCAGGTATTTGCTTTCCTAGCCACGCTGATGTATGTGATCCATAAGGTGTACTCGCTGCTGCGATGGAAGTCATCCTGAATGTCCTCCCCCACGAGTGGGCCTTGTGGTCACCCACAGACACGAGATGTTCAATGACTGCGGTTTCGGGCTGGGGCTGGGGGTTGGTTTTCGGTGTTATTGGCTATACAAGCAGCTTGGTGTGTGGGACTGTAGCAGTGAAGAAAAAGGGCCTGCCAGAGAAATCTGTATGTCCTGGCATGATCCATTCCCCTCCAGTCTCTACTGGGTTGGCTATGGTGTGTAAGCAAGACCCAAATAGGAAAAAATCCAGCTTTAAACAGAATAGTGTTATTGGATCCAAAGTGCCAAAATATTCCCAAGTCTGCCTTACGCTTTCAGAGTTGTTCTTGCTACCAGAGGACGCCTGAACAAAACAAACAGTGCTCGGGAGAGCAAGTATGAAATCCGGCCTTTTTCTCTGGAATCTGGCCATGTAAATCTAGTTTCCTCTGCAAACCAGACTTGCCAAAAGAGTATTTCACACAGTTTCCAGAAATGCCCTCTCTGGCTCGCGATGAGAAATGGGCAGCATATAACTTGTCTCCAGGGAAATACAAATTCCTGCAGCCCCGATGGGAACTGCCGAATTATGAGGCCCAGCTGCAACCCGAACCAATAGCACTGCCATTAATCTCTCTGTGAAATATAACCAGAAAGGGGCACTGCAGAGACGGAAGGAGAATTACACGGGCAACTGAATTAAGAATAAGCAGAGACGACGCTTGTCTTTGGCGCGCGGCTGCTCTCAAACCCTCCTTTACCAATAAAGACAGGTTTTCTGTAACTTTCCAYGTGGCTGTGGGTCCCTGTGTTGCAGGGCCGGCCCCACGTGCCCCACGGCCGCTGCCCGGAGGCCAAGCAGCAGCGCAGGAGGCAACGCGGAGCCAGGGGGTTTCACATGTTCCTGACATGCTGTGGGTTCCTCTCAACTCTCCCGGCTTGCAGGGCACCAATCGCTTCTGCTTGGAGGCTGAAGTTCACGCACGATAACAAGGGATGGAGAAGGGGAGGGAAATAAAGATGAACGAGGGACACATCTGCTCTTTCAGAACCTGGGGGGATTTTTTGCATTTGGGATTTCAACCAAAAGTTTTGGTTGCAGCTTTTTAATTGAAATTCAGGGAAAATAATAGTTTTTTTTTCCAATGATTGTGGGTTTTTTTTTTTCCTCTCATTTTTCCACATTAAAAATGAGGCTGACCTGTTTTGCTTGCACCGGTGTGACAGAAGCGACCCTATGGCAGCAGTGGCGAGGAAGAGCCCGCGCTCAGAGCGCGACGGGCACTCACGGGCGCTGTGAGCGTGACTTGTGCCTCCGAACATTCACCCTGCCCCTGCCGGGACTGGTTTCAGCACCGCGTCATTAGGGAGTGGGGGAAATTTAACGCCTGTTGCTATTAATGCCCCAGAATTTAGCACTGAAACACAAAGACGCCTCTTTTTTTTTTGGTGGAGGTGTTTGCGGGCACACCCCGGGACGCCCGCCCTGCCTCTCCTGCACCCTGGAGCTATTTCCCCTCCTATCCATCTCCTCCTGCCTCGCTTTGCCCTTTGCTTCCCCTTGCCCTGCCACACACCAGTTCACACCAGTCCACGCCAGTTTGCCCGTCTGTCCCCTCCACGCTGGCCCCCAAATCAGGCACCTCCCTCTGTGCATTAGCAGGTTCCTGCCATGAATCAACGCTGGAAAAAAAAAAAAACAGCCAGACACTGCTGGTGTGGGAAGAGAGGAAAGAAAGGAGATTGGAAAAGCACTCAGGCATCTCGGCTGGCCATCATGCCCAGTCCTCCAGCCCTCGCCTGCCCCAGTGCCAGGGCAATGGTGCATCTCAATGCTGTGGAAATGAAAGACGCTGCACAGAGACCCCTGGAAGCTCCCTGCACCTTCCTACGCCTTGTGCCTGGTGCCCACAAAGACCCCGCCACGGGCAACATTGGCCTGAGAAGCTGTGGGAACGTTGGGTGTGATGAGCTCTGTGCTCGAACGGGCTGTGGCTACTGCCCTTCAGCCCCAGGAGGCAGAAATAGGCTTATGCCCCAGAGATACCTGTCTAGGTTAGGTGTAAGCCTCTCTGGAAGGGATGGTTATTCCTGTTTAATGGCACAGACAGCTTTTTAAGTGCCCATCTCCACCTCCTCGCAGCAATTCAGCCTGGCTCACAGGTGGTGGCGGCAGCTTTGCAGAAGCAGAGGGAGGAAGAGTTCAAACCGGGGCTTTTTCTCTGCCTTTTGGCCATGCTGTTCTCTAGCTACCCCTCCGGCGGGGCTGGAGACCTCGCTGGATCCGCAGAGCTGCAGGACTAGCAGCGTCCCCGGGCATCCCCGGCGCGCGAGCACGGCACCACCCAGCGCAGCATGGCTGCGCTGGCATGCAAGTGGCTTCCTGTCCACCAGGTGCCAGCAAGTCCTTGACTGCAGCGCTGCTCCATGGCAGGCTCTGCATTTGCTTGGTTCCATCCCTGCGGCCACCACGAGCTCTCAGCTGGGAGCATAACGGGACTTTCCCCCTCTGCTTTTCTCCTCCAGCTTCTAGAGGAAACCTGCTGGCATCTGCCTCAGAGCTACACGGCAATTCAAAACAAAGCAGCCCCCCTCAGCTCGTGACACACACAGCTCCAGGCACGTCACTGTGTTCAAATTGCTTTCACGGCTGCTCTCGCTTAGTTACGAGATGCTTAACCATAGTTTTGTCTGCTTCACAAATGTGGGTGCGTTGAGTCCCCAAATTACCTAGTGTTGAAAGGTGAGTCACGTGCAGTGCCTCGGCAGATGCAATAAAAAAGAAGTGAGCAGTTCCATCCTCTTCTGAACTGCAGTTCTGAATGCAAAGAGATGGCGGAGAAAATTATGGCCTGCTCCGTGGAAAATGCAGGAGTTTTTGGTGCTGGGTGGAACAACTGTGCAAGCAGCTACGAGCTTGAGTAGATGTTGTGCTAACAGGTACAAGCTTGGGAAAAAAGGAACCTCCTCCAGACATTTTATGAAGGCAATGAAGTCCAACACGGTAGAGCCTGATTCCTGGGCTGTTACCACCTCCTGCAGCACCAGCCCCACGTACGTTGCCAGCCTTGGGCCAGAACACAGGTGCCTACCTGTACGTTCAGAGCCAGGAAACACGAGCCTGGAGTACAAGGAAGCAGCAAGACATCTCCAAGCGTGGGGACAATCACTCACCTGCTACGGACATGTAACAGGTCCAGACGTGCATGCAGACATGATTCTGAGGAGAGGAAACATGCTGGCATGACCCGCTGCTTGCTGCAACACGGGGAGGTGAATCACGAGCAGCCGGTCCAGCTGAGTGGTGTTGACCATCTCCAGCATCCGAGAAAGCAGGGGCTGCTTCAGCTCATCCGAGAAAGCAGAGGCTGCTTCAGCTCATCCGAGAAAGCAGAGGCTGCTTCAGCTCACTGTGTTCCTGCAAGGACGGAGGCAAGTTTAAGTGCAGCGAAATAACCCAAGATTTGGTTGCTTTAGGCCAGGTTTATTCATTAGCACGAGTCACCTCAGCTGTGGGAGGCAGGCTAAATGTGAGCCCGCACTCCAGAGCGGCGTGCTCGGCTATGCTACTTAGAGGAAAGTTTGCAAGCTGAACTGTTTGCACCCTGAGTTCAGATTCAGTGAGCAATCCGGAACGAAACGCGCAGCCAGCGGCTCGGCAGGCATGGCCACGGACTTAGAATTTGGATTAACAGTTGCATAAAATTCAATTAAATCCCCCATGCCTCACTGTACATGCACCACTGCTGTCTTTAGAAATTTACGGCATTTTTATCATGTAAAACTATTGCCCTGGATGCTTTTAGCATCAAATGCAGATTCCCAGGCTGATCTTGCAGCATTTTTAAGATTTTTTGTTCCTGTACTAACATGCAGCAAACATTGTTTGGCTTACAGAGAAAAGCTGACAAGCACTCACAGACTGTAGACGAAATGGCAACTCCATTTGAGCTTTGGCCACAGTCCAGACCAAACTAAAGGCATTGATGTAAACTTCTGAATTACTTTATACCCGGTTTTAAGGCTCTGTCATGAAGCGCTGCGCTCAGTTCCAGCAACTCTTTTGCAATGCCTAAGACAACAGCTTGCAGCTGCCACAGAGCACCAGGTCCCTGAAGGTAGATGCAGAGCCCTGTGGTCTTTTGGTGGGACTTGGGTGATGGCTTCCCCAGCTAGCTGCTTCTCTAGCTTGTAGCACCTGCCTCTGCGTGCTTCAGCTGGAGACCTGCTACGTGAAAGGGTTTGATTCCATCTCTGCTCAGAGGCTGGTCTGAATCATGGCCTTTCTCTTACTCCTTTAATCCTATAGTGCTTTTGAGTGCTGGGATGGGTCCCCAGACTCTTACCTTGGCACCAAGGTGGCAGAGAATGAAGCCAGGTCCTCCCCCAGCACATACACAAAGTGCTGCTGGAGAGGTTGGACAGCTGGTGTTGGAGTGAGCTTCCACTGCCTGTCAAAATACCACAACATCTCAAAGGAGAGTGGGGGGTGGTTGTCCTCAGTTCGGTGGGCTCTGCTTTAGAGGGGAACTCCCCCACTTGGGTGGTTAGTGTTTGTGCCCCCCACATGTTGCTCCCCAGCACCTTTTTTCCCTCTCCTGGGGCACACACTTTGCACCTTCTGAGTTCAGAGCTCTCCCAGCATTGCAAGTGAGCCAGGGCAGGGAGACGGAGAGCACGCACGTCAACTCCCACCACTGCTGCGTGCTCCGAGATCTTCCACGCTTAAGCAGACATTGGCAATCTGGAAAAAAAAAACCCTAAACCCAACAACAGAAAGTAGAAACTAAAAAGCAAACCCACACCATCTCATTCTGAGGATTCTTTATTAACAGTCTCATCTTTTCAGCAGTTTCCCACAAGCTGGTGGATGAAACCAGGGGTCTGGTGTTTACAAATCATCTTGCAGAACGGCGCAAACACAGACCTGAAGTCAATGTGATGTCCACTGGCTGTTTCCCTTTTAAAGTTCATAGTTTAAAAGTGGCCAGAAGACAAGCAAATGGTGTTACTGAACGGCAGCGAAATGAAGATCATGAGCACCCTACTGGTGCCACATCCAAAACACAAGCCCAGACAAGCTGTCCCTTGGGCCGGACCTTCTCAGCTGCGCCTCTGACCAGAAGAGACTGGGGGGCTGAGGCTTTTAACACGCTGTCCGCCTGACATTTGCCCAGGGAGATTTCTTCATCCCCTGAGCTTCTTTCACGTCGCTCCACTCCAGCTTGGTGTCTGGAACCTCATCCTCCAGCTCGGGATCTTCACGGAGGGCTCCCTCGGGTGAGGCCACCACGATGGGCAGTGGGCCTCGCTCCTCCCGAAACTCCACGACGTAGAGGTTCTTCTGGTTGGCCAACTGCTGGTGAGTCTTCTGTGGGGGGACAGGAGGAGCAGGAGAAAGAGGAAACACGATCAGCAGAGGTCTCAGGCTAACAAATACCCCAGGAAAGGCTGGTTTGTTTTCCACTTCTGGCTGGTTCCTGTTTAAATCACGCCTAGATAATACTAACAAAGTTGCAACACGTTGGTTTGCTTGAGGTGAAGCTTTACATGGGCTAGAGGCTAGGAAAAAAAAACAGTAATTTACTAATAAGTCGTTTCAACACTGCATAAACTAGAAGCACATTCTTGAGGATATCAAAAGAACTCACAGCAAAGCAGCAGGAATTCAGCTGGCAGACTGCTCATTTTCCAGCACTGTAACATCACCCTAGAGGAACTCGTTTCTAGAAGGGTTTTGGCTAGGAAAAGCGCATCCTGCTAATAAACACCAGTGTTAATAACCTGTTAATAACCTGTAGCACCAAAGCACAATATTGTGCTCTCATTCTGAGGAGAAACACAGACAATCGGGCGCTCCCAAGAACAGACCAAAGGAAAATTAAACATCCTTTTTCACACATATTCAGTTGCTCCTGGAGAGATGGGACCTGCTGAAGTCCCATACAGCTTCCCAGCACTAAATTATACTTGATATTGATCTGTTTTATATCTTCATATTAATACAACTTGTCCTTTGAAAACATGTGTGTTGCTGCCTTTACAGATAATAGTAGCCAATATAAATATACTAATTCAACATTATTTGCAAGTGCATCCCATTCCTATACACAGGTTGGTTTGTTAAGGCTCAGATTCTACAGAATGTTTACTGAGACCAGAAAACATTTCTGTTTTAGGGCAAACAAGACGACAATGTTAAGTGCACACCTTTAAGAGCAATGATCTATATAGCAGGCCCTTCTTCCACTTCTTTTGTGGAAGGCTTCTCAGAGACGACGCTTCAAAGAAGTTACACGGACTTCCTCAGGTCTGAATATCCACAGATATTGAAGAGTCTGTAAGCATCTCTGGGCAAGGAGGACTGTAACTACCTGCTCTTTCGAGACTCAGCTRAAAAGCTCACTAGGACAGGATGATAGATTGGACAATTATAGCCTTGCAAGGGGATCCGGCCACATTTCAATATTGGCAAAGTAAATGGTTACCCTTTGGCAGATGCCAAGACTGTGGCCAAGTGAAACACTCCAAATTTCCAAAGGACTGGCTCATCCTAAGGCTGCCTTTCAAACTAAGGCAGATGAAAGGCTGCATGTTGGATAGTTACGGACTGTTAGCTACAGACAACTGGCTCAGACAAAGCCCCTGTGCTGCAAGCACTTTGTGTGAGAGGCAACGACACCCCCGATTTATTTCAGGCACCCTAGTTATGCTACCAAGAAAAGCTGCTGCCGTGTTCAGTCCTTCAGCCATGAAAACCTAGAGCACAAACAAACAAGCACCAGGAAGCAGAGCAGGGCCACAGTTTCCTCTGCCCCATGCTTCTTAACATGTCGCCAAAAATACCACAAAGGAAAGCCGACAAGCTTGGATCCCTTTGGAGGCACTTGGCTGTGGAATGAAGAGCTACACTCTGCTGCTCCTCTTGGACAACTTTCTACAGCTCCTGCGGAGGAGACGTAGGACAAGGAAACAGTCACCTAGCGATTTTATTTATTCTTGGAAAGTTTTCTTTACTTTAAGACTTGAATTTAAGCAACGTTTGACCACAAATTATTATGATAGCAGTCATAGTCTGCTCCCGATCTGAAAAATAAGCCTGCTGAATATGCAATTTACCTGTTCTGTTAAGCCTTTAAAGAGAGCTCTGGTGATGTTAATCAAGTTTTTCGAACCAGAAACCCTGGCATACATGTCCTTAATGCCAATTAGTTTGCAGATGGTGATGATAGCTCGGTGGCAATGAAGTCCATAGCCTGTAGAAAAACACAAATTGTGCATGTAAACATATAGTTTAGTTAAGGAAAAAATATCTGCAACCTCATCTTAACCATCTTTGTTCCCTACTAGGTTAGAACACATTAACATATCTTAAAAACTATAACTTGGCATAAATGAACAATTTTCCCAAGTCTCAGCAGCTTTTATGCTAACATAAAAATCATTCTTTCTATACTAAGTATTTACTACTTAGAATATTGCAAAATCAATCAAAATCCACACCACCTGTACACTCAAAACAAAAACCACAGAAAGATGCAAACCCCAGGTGAGGTCGGAGTTTCAACAGAGCCATTGGCACCTTCAGATTCGTGCCCTGTGGCTCATAAACACCCAGCTCCCTCCCCAGGCCACATTCATGAAATGTAAGGCAAATCTCTCCCTCCGCTTAAGAACGCAGTGATCCTCAAAACTAACTATCAGCAGAGCAGTAAGACAACAAGTTACTTAACAATATTAAAATGAAGCCTTTAAGAGGAGAGAGGATCTCAGAGGAAGCGGATCCCAGTATCCTGGGATGACCTGCTCACTAGGGTTACAAGACATCTCTTCTAATGAGCAACTTTCATAGTTTCTGACCTGTTTTCTCTGCCATTTCAGTCACGCAAATGCTGAGCAACAGTTTCAGTAAATCCTAACGATGGCGATCTGACTTTGAAGCCCTGGTTTAGACACGTAGTAGAGAGGGGTAAATTGGTCCCCTACTGTGCTCAAAGCACTTGAAGCAACGCAGTCCTTTAGACACCAGATCAGAGAGGATCAGAGAGGCCAAGAGGGTCTTCCCAAAGTCCGAGATCATGCTCAAAACCTGTCACATGCAGCAGAGCTGCAGGTATCAGGAAGGGTCCAGGGAAGAAAAGGAAGGTCCAGGGCTACCTGTGAGCAACGATGCTCCCTCCAGCAGAGAAGCGTGGTCTGGACACAGAAAAGGGGATAGTTCCAATGCATTTCACTTAAAAGTGACAAAGACAGCTTACAGATTAGCCCATTCTGCAGGGCAGGCTTGTGGCCAAGTAAATGAAGAAAAATAATATATTCCAGTGCTGCAATGCTTTACTGTGCCAGTATTTTCCTTATTCTTCTAACCTACAGCTGGTAAACAAACTGCAACCCTCCAAGGACATTTATTCCGGCATTTGAGAAAAATATTGTTTTCTATACTATGAGACAGGATCAAGTTTTAGACACAATTACATGTGAACAATCTTGGAGAGGCTGTTTGTCAAATTTTCATTTCCAGAGCCTAAAAGCTTTTCATTTCTGGTCTTTTGCATCTTTGCTGTTCTCCCATTTCAATTCCATCAAGTTTCTGTAGATGTTTAATACATGAAACTCATCAGCCAGCAAGTTGGTCAATCAGTCACTGAACAACATTTATTCCCAAGGCAAAACCAAGGGATTTTGACTGCAAACTGTAACCATGGACAGAGTTGTGCTCAGACATCTTTAACTTGCTCATGACGCTTGTGCTGCATTACTGCAGTTTAAGCCCATGAGCCTATAAAAGACAACAGAAACTACTAAAAGTTTCTTGCACTGAAAAAATCGATGCAGGTGACTAAGAGAGGATGCTTTTAAAATGTGTCCCTCCCATGAACTAGTTTCTAAGCTATCTCCAGTCCAAATGCGACCCGTGTTGAGCAAGTGGTGCTGAATTTTCTAGGTGGTGAACTAAGGAGAGTTTGGGAATACAGAATCACAGAACGGTTGAGGTTGGAAGGGACCTCTAGAGATCATCTAGTCCAACCCCCCTGCTCCAGCTGGGACATCCAGAGCACAGGGCACCCGGGTGCATCCAGGCGGGTTTGGGAGATCCCCGGAGAAGGAGACTCCACAGCCTCCATGGGCAGCCTGTGCCAGGGCTCTGGCACCCTCACAGGGAAGTTCTTCCTCACATGGAGATGGAACTGCCTGGGTTTCAACTTACACCCATCGCCCCTTGTCCTGTTACTGGCCACCACTAAGAAGAGCTTGGCCCTGTTCTCCCTACATTTCCCCTTCCTGTACTTACACATATTGATCAGATTCCCCTCTCGGCCTTCTCTTTTTCTGAGAAAACAGGCCCAGCTTGCTCAGTCTCTCCTTGTACAACAGATGCTCTTGTCCCTTACTCATCTTTGTTGCTCTCTGTTGGACCCTCTAGAACATCCATATCCCTCTTGTCCTGGGGAGCCCAGAACTGCCCCCAATGCTCCAGGTTTGGCCTCCCCAGAGCTGAGCAGAGGGGCAGAATCACCTCCCTTGACCTGCTGGCAATGTCCTCCTGATGCAGGCCAGGATGCCATTGGCCTTCTTGGCCACGAGGGCACACTGCTCACTCATGGTTAACTTGGTGTCCACCAGGACTCCCAGGTCCCTCTCCGTGTTGCTGCTCTCCATCGGGTCGACCCCTAATCTGTACTGGTGCCTGGGGTTATTCCTCCCCAGGTGCAGGACCCTGCACTTGTCCTTGTTGAGCCTCAGGAGGTTCCTCTCTGCCCACCTCTCCAGCCTGTCCAGGTCCCTCTGAAGGGCAGCACAGCCCTCCAGAGCGTTGGCCACGTTTGCAGCGCAGGTGAGCAGGACCCTGGGCAGTAGGACCCGCTAGGAACAGCAGCACTCCGGCAGGGCAGCACATACAGAGCCCCGGGCACACAGGGAACTCACTGGGCCCACCTGGAACCTGTTCCGCAGCGTCTCCGCCAGCCACGGACCCCGCACACACTCCCAACATACAGGATTTTGCACAGGGATCCGCTCTTACAGCTCTGAGCCCAGCGGGACCCCCAGAGTGCTGCATGTACCTGCAGTTATTTTTTTATCTCAGACAAGAGCAAACCTGCTTCAAGAAATGTAGGTCTTACTTCATCAGTTAGACAGAAGGGGAAACATTCATTATGTGGAAATGGGGTTTCTGATGTTTTGGAGGATACTTACATACATATATATATATATATGTATATTTATGAATACGCCGTGTAACTGTAAATGCTCAAGATAGCCAGATGGTGCAAAGCACTAGCCCATGGTGGCAGCTAGGGAGGGCAGAGGAAGACCCAAAGGGCAGGTATATGTTTCAAAATAAAAAAAAAAAAAAAAAAAGGAGGGGAATTTGTGAACATACAGAGCAGTCAGTTTAAATTCAGCTCTCAAGCAGGAACAGAACACATTGTCATCAATGAGGTTTTGGGTGCCTGGAGAACTCTCCAAAGGAGCCCAACAAAGACACGCTCAGCGTGTCTCTACTTTAGCCCTACGGTGTTAATATCACAGGACTGATTCTATATTTGGACCCAGTTCTGCAGGATTTTCTCACAAAACAAGTGGGGGAACAATGAGCATGCGAAACCATCACTAAAGCACGTGTCCCCATTAGTAGCAGTCTGCTGCTGCCCAGAGCATTTTTCATATAAGATCCTGCTGAGAATCTGTTCTGGCTTCAGCTCCTGCTAATACCTTCATTAACAACTTGGATAGAGGAAAAAAATGCCAGGAAAGAAAATAGATGGAGGATATTAACTCAGGGAAGGTTGCGGATGTCCTGGGGGTGAGGAGGAGAGGTCAACACGGGCCTGAAAACTGGGGACACCATTTGAAATGAAAACAAGGAAATTTAACAAAAATAAGTGCAAAGGACTCTGGTGGGAAATCAGAAGCACCAATGGAAAATGGGTAAGACTGACTGAATGGCAACAGAAAAAGGATCTGGGAGGTGGAGCAAACCCAGAACCGAAATCAGCAGAATAATGCTGCAGCACATGCAACACCTAGAACAAAACACACTCTAAATACATTTTTCCAAGCCAGGTCAATCAGCAGTCTTCACATGTGATGTTCCATGTATAAGGGGAACGAATGAGTCTCACCGGGCTGGGTAGCAGTGGTATGTTAGCTACAGATTGGTGCTTCCTAGGAAAAAAAAGCAAAGTGGGGAGAGACACTTTGCTTCTCAGCAAACCGTCTTTTATTTCCATAAATTTTTAAACTTTTCCATAATTTTATATTTTTTCCATATTCCAAATTCTTAATTTCCTTTTATTCCTTTTTATTTCATTTATTCCTTTTTATTTTCCATAAATGGAAATAAAAGGGGACAACAGTGTGGTGAGGAGGTTGTTAGCTGCAGGGCAGTCCTGGTTGCTCTTGCTCCTGAGGCCCAGGTATGGAGCACATGGGATGAGATGGGAAGGAATCCCTTATTCTGTGACCCACTGCAAGGCAACACTGCTTGTCTGTGAGGTGTATTTTGGCTGTGTTGCTTCTATTCTTCACCTGTTTTTGTTTTATTATATTGAATCCTAAATTGAAGCTTATGAAAACCAGTTATCTTAAAAATTACAGGGCAAATTATTTAATTTTATGATCCTGAGGGGTCGTTAAATGCAGAACTGCAGAAACTCAAATGAGAAGACAATCTGGCTTGACGCCTGTTGCTTTGAGAAGATTTTTCGAAGCCCACGCTATCGCTTTTCTGTCACAGTGATTTAAAAAAAAGCCCTTATCTCAGAACCAAAATAATGTCATCTAGTAAAAACTGTGTTGAAGGCTCACATCAATTTTCAATGCTTGCAAAATATATATTCAAAACTCTGAACATTAATAATTATCTTCTCACATTATTAATGTGACAGTGCCGAAAGAGAATATTAGCTACACAAAATCAAGCATTTATGTCCACAGTGTCAATGCTTCAGCTTCCTCAAAGGTTGTAGAAACTGATGAAATAATTAAGTAACTGCATACAATGGCAGCTCTTTCTGAAAAATCATCCCAAGCTCCTAACTTTCATTATGAGCTAATCGTTGAATGCTCTTGCAGTTCAGGTCGTGCCAGAATGAACTGATTTACAGCTCCCTTTATTTCCTGCTTTCATATTTGTGGGACCAACGAGGACACCGAGCTGCAGCTAAGTCTGTTCTCTGCGAAACTGCCACTACCTGTATCTATTCCAAAAGCAAAGCTCTGTTTAACGAGTGGAATCAAACATTTGCACACGGTTGTCTCATTCAAAATTGCCTGCAAAGAAATTACCTTGCATCGTCACTTAAGCTCTTTAAAAACAGRAGCTGCCTAGAAGATAAAATGAACCACACCTAAACTGAAGGGCTTGAGAAGTAGGCTAACCTTTAACTCCTCGAGCTACTTCATATGATAAGAGCTTTTATGGTGCAGTTCTGAAAAGCACGATGCCAGGTTGCAGGGTTGCTGCGAGCGTCAGCAGCTGGCACAGCACAGATTGTAACTGCCCTGAACAGGAGGAAAGGGGTGGCAGAAGGTCAGCACTGCGTTCCCCGAGTCCTCAAAAGGTCAAGGCTGGGGTAGAATCATAGAATGGGTAAGGTTGGAAGGGACCTCTAGAGGTCATCTAGTCCAATCCCTGACACAGAAGCTGGTGGAGAGACAACACACACGTCGCTGAGTGGCAATCACAGCTGTGGTCCACGGTCCTTTTCTCTTGAGAAGGAGCAGTGGCAACGATAGGAGCCTGGGCTTGGGGAGCTACACGTTCCTCATCTCTACAGATTGTAACTGCTATGAGTTGCATCTTTGGGGAAGGAATGAGAYATTCCCTTTTAAAATTTACCAGGAGAAAAGAGACAACCATCTGAGCATTCGCTGTATCATGCTGGGATGTCTAATCAATAAATTGTCCAGGGAGGCCTGGTTGGAGATGCCCATCTTGGTGCTGAACTGCTGTCATTAGACACACTGGGATGCTGCACTTCCCAGCTATCAGTGATGACTTAGTACCATTCCAGACTGAAAATATATTTTGGAAGCACTTTTAACAGACTAGTAGCCATGTAAATGATCAATGAGCCACGGGCTACCTCTTGTGGACTCAGAAATACTTTCATCCAATAAACAGGAGTCTAAAGAAGTATCTACAAATGGGATCAAAGGGAGGAGAACATCTTGCAAAGCCAGAGAAATGAAATCCTGCTGCTGTGCAGCAGTGAGATGGTCTTCCAACTGGTCTGGTGCAAGGCAAGAAGCCATGGCGGAGAATTTCTGTAGACAAAGCACCAGTTTCGAACTGGGAGCTCCTGCTAGGGCTTTATCCTAGGGAAAATAAAGCAGGAACAGTTGTGATGGAGCAGCTGGATGGGCTGGATGCTGTCCTCATTCCAGCTCATGGCCACAGGTAGTCTGAGACAGTCGAGTATCATGCTATCCCAGCATGATACTTGGAGAAATGAGCCCATCTGTGAGACTTGGGCAGATGTTGCTATTCCAAAGGCATGGATCTGCGGCACTGGCACTCAGATTCACATCCGAAAAATTCCCAGTAGCGCAGACAAAAATATCCCTGAACCTTGTCTTGAAGACCGTGATTAAAATGGTGAAAAATAATGGCAAGAATATACCAGTTCTCCACAACGTGCATGGGGTATATGATGGGAACAAATGTCCACATGATACTTCTAAAGGCCTTTGCCTCCAACAACTATACTACTGGAAAGAGATTAAACTTCTCCAAATTTTAGAGCAGGAGGAGCTAAATTTTGGAAACCTGAGAGAGAAAAAAACAAACAGAAAAAACCCCCAAAAAACTAACCACATGGGGGAGACATGGACTGGGAACCAAAGAGACAGGGAAGCAGTAAGGGTAAAAGAAAGCCAGGAATTAAAGCATTCACCAGTGGGAGAGGGAGAAATCCTGACATATAAAAACAAAGTCAGGTACAGCAGAAATTTCTAATGAAAGACAATGGGTCATCTTCAACAAGGCACCAGAATCGGATGATACATCTCTGAAGTGTATGAACATTGCACAAATTTATCTTACTCAAGTAAATAACAGGCAGTAATTAATAAAACCTCAAAATTTCCAGGCAGCTTGAGTTACCTTTATTTTGCTTCTTCATGCGGATAGTTGTCCTTTTAAATTTCACATTAATGTCATGGTAAACTGGAAGGAAAAAAATGAAGAATTAGAGCATAATTGTTCTTGGAGAAAGATCTTTAAGCTAGCATGCAAAAGGAGTGCATTTCTCCTTCAGAAATCTGCACAGAAAATTAGTTTTACTCTGCTTTGAGTACTTCATTAAAGAGAAGGATTAATCCAGGTAAAGTTCTGGAGAAGATTACGGCTATTTACACACGTGGGACTATTACTTTACTGCTTGCTAAACATAATCCGGATTCACTTTGAAAATCTGAAGCAGATATCTAATCATCTTTATTTTGCTTTGAAGAGGGCTCACGTGATGGATTTTAGTCCTCTTCCTGATCTTTAGATTTTCTAGTATATCAGCCTTTAACATTTCCCCTTAGGCTTCCACACTGGATTTTCCATACATGAGAGTTCCCATTTCAGCTTTCTCTCTGCTTCATAAAGAGCCCTAGACTCATTTCTTTTTGTTTCAATWTTGTTACATAAAAATTTCTTAAGAGCCTGAAATAACTAGGTTACCCCTATGCATTAGCTCTACATGTTTTAAACACGGTGAGGAAGGGCGAGTGCAAGGGAGATAAACCACCCAATTTAATATTTTAAAAACAACAGCTCATGTTATGAAACAGTAACACAACTTTTCTTCAAGGACTTCCCTGTAATTGTTGGAACAAGGCTGAATGGAAGGGAAGAGCAAACTGCATATTCATCCCAGATAATGGTGACTTCTTTTACACAGAAACTAATGGACTGGATACTCTGACACCACCACTGTCTAGCTACAACAGCCTGGGGCCAAGATTTCGGGTAGCAAGCTGGAAAATCAAAATGATGCACAAAGATTCTTACAATGCACTGGCCAAAGAAGGTTTTAGTTAACATGCTTTAATGGTATGCAACTAGCTGCAACTATTGACAGCATATTCAGTATTTACTGAAACTTAAGAGTCCAAGAAAAATGATAATACTTACTTGTGTGGTTTTGATAGAGTTCTATAAAATGCAAGCAGCGTATCGCTTTGTTCTTTGCCTAAGGAAGAAAGGCATAATTTTTTTTTCTACAATTTTTCTGCAAAGTATTTGGAATTTACCTTTTTTTTTGGTCAGTTGGCAGAAAAAAAACAAGGTAAGGAACCTCAAGAAAAAAAGGAGAGCYGCATCTAATTCACTTAGTTTACAGACATCAAAATTTTAAAGAGCTTATTTCTCCTAAGAGACTCRGCATCTTAAAAGACTTCTTCATTGTAAAAGCCTTTTTAATCCAGTAACCACTAYATCAGTCCAATGGACTTCACCATTGCTACTGAGCCTCACAACACCAAGTAGATTAATGTAGATTACAAGTCATATTTTGACATCTAAAGGAGCCTTAATAAAGTCATTATGTATATATAAGAGAAAAATTCCTGCACAATTGTTGTATGAACAGACTTTATATTCTACCTAGTTATGAGCAATAAATAAGCAAAGGGGTGCGATCATAGGTCATAAAAAAGAGGAAGAAATCTTTTAAAAAATAGATTTAAAATAACTTTTTCTTTTTGTTCCTACTTGCAAAATACCACAACCTGGCATAAAAATAACTGGGGAAAAATACAAAAATCATCTGACCTCTGTGTGTACAGATTATATCAGAAAACAAGTGAAAAAATGAAATATTAACAGAATCTCATTGAGCGGTGACCTCATTATATGTACCGAGATGGACAAACCATGTATATGGAAATATTTCTACATATAGACCAGGAAAAAAAAAAAGATTTGGGCTATTTTCAAAAAAGCACAGCTATGAAATATTTGTGCTGATTTTTAATCAACATACTTTCCGTAACGCGTTCATCCTGTCACCTGCTTTTCCCACTGCAAACCCTGGAAGACAGAAAACAGTCCTTTTATTAGTGAGAAATGCATGCATCAGGCAGGAGCTTGAGAAAGACAACGGGAGAAAACAAATCACCATCAAGTTTAATCCCTCTTACTTCTACTCCATTGCACAGATTATATTCAGAAAATGGCTCTGAGAAAAATACATTTAATAGAAAGTAACAACTCATCCATTACAAATCCCTATCAACTGGATGCTGATTTGCAGTATGAAAAAAAAAAAAAAAGATGAGTAAGGTTTAAATTAAGACATTTCTTTTGTGCGTTTGTTCCAGATAATTGAGTAATGTGATTGTTTCATCCAGAAAAGGCAATTTTTTGCCTAGAAGGAAGGGGAAGGAAGGACAAGGAGGAAGGCAATGCAGGTAGACCAGCTGTGTCTGCACGAACAGTGGCTCCAAGGCCCAAGAGGCAAAGATGGTTGGGCTTGTGTTTACAAAACAGAGACCCTGAAAACAGTATTTTTGCATTGGCAAAAAAAAAAACAGGCTTGAAAAACAGAAGAAAAATCGGGCTCTGCAATTGCAGGCTGGTAGTTAATCCTCCCTGACCTACYGGTACTTACTAGGTGAACTGTGGCATAGCAAAGCTCCCTCAAAAAGTATCTGCTGGGACATTAGCTGATGAGGCCGAGTGGACAGGCGGCTGTTCCACTGCCAGGATCAACTCTGTAGTCTGCAGTCAACATGGACTGACTTCAGATTGCTTGACTTTACCTAGGTGGATTTCGCTTTGGGGGGATTTTTGGCGTTTCTCCTGCTGTGACAGCTGGAGCTGTGGGTCACCTCAGCCACGGAGCCTAATCCAAAATTCAGCGGTCTGTGATCCGAGAGCCAACGCTGACATTGATTTCTTGCAGTCCTCGCGGCAGAAAGGAGCTGGGAGAGATCTAGGAGAGCAACAGCATGGGGAGTGTGTGGTGCTTGCATCTTCCCAATGGATGGTGCTCTGCAAATCTGTAAGCAACTGGAAATGTGGCTGGCTTATTCCAGCTTCCACGTGCATCCCAAAAGCCGGGGCAGCTCTGCAGCTCGTAATGAAAGGAGACTGTTTACATCCAAGAGGTGAATGCTCTCGGAAGGCATACACACCCAAAATAGATTTTTCCTCTGCTTCAGTCACGYAACAATGCAAATTTCCTGTCCTCTGCTATCAATATAATGCATCCTATATTCTCCCCATCCCGACAGATGCATATGACTTGAACTGTTTGCCTCAGAATTATGCACTTTTGGGCTTTTTTTTTTTTCCCCAGATGAATCTCATTTTAATTCTGCATAGTTTTCTTATTTCCAAGTCTGTTTGAGGTCTAACAGGAATTTTTATGTACATTGGTTTACATCCTCAGGAGACCATACAGAAAACTCTCTCGTTTGAAGGAGAAATTTAGTGCTTCATATTCAAGGGTGCTTCTTAAACAAAATTTATCCTACAAAAATAAAAAAGGCTTTAACTCATGGTACTTGAAAACTGAGTGAGAGATTAACACCATTTCCCACACAACAGAACCAGAAGCATGGAAGTGCAGCACAGGGTGAGCGTATAGCTCCCTTACAAATCACTTTACACTTAAGAACTATTAGTACTGCCTTTTATAATTTTGTCCTCCCATCWTAGCCCATTGGCTCAGAATCTGAGCCAAGCCTGAGTCAACCAAAAGCAAAACACGTCCTGTCAAATAAAGGATGCCTAATAATTTTTGTAATTGACAGAGTGAAACACAGGACCTCAAATGCACTTAACTGAGGGGGGAAAAATAATAACAAGGGGAGCTGCTCCTTCTCTACATGAGAGATCCAACCAACAGTGATAACTGAATTAGTTAGGAGGGTGTGGAATTTTTCCTCAGCTCTTTACTTTGCAGGCAACCCCTTAAGAAGCAGCMGGGTAGTGATTTTTTGGTCTCTTCATTCAGCAAAGAGCAACTGTGAGCAGCTCAAGGGCCCTTCTGGCCAAGGGCATTATGCACTTCCCTTGAAGACAGACCTGTTGACTACTTATTGCAGCATCTTGCAAATGCCTGCGAAGGGAAGGCCATAGGATCCGCCTGCTGTGGCCAGCCCTGTCTTTGCAGTGTGTGAGCTTAGAAATGGGTGAAGCAGCAGCAGGGTATGAGCTGGGACCCTCTCGGCAGCACTGGTTCAGCCAGGCGAGGTGCTGGGCTGAGCGGGTTCGGTTACTTCTAGAAGTCACTTGTCCAGAGTGCTCAGCAGCACAGTCATGCCTAGAGCTCCCTTCCAAGGAAAAATAAAACCACAAAAAAAGAACAAACAAAAAACTACTCTCAATTCCTCTGGGAAGTATTCCTTCTCTAAGGAAAGTCTCTATTTACAGTTGGTGTATAAAATCCTCCATAACCTCATGTTTCTTTCGATTTGTCTCATTTACTTCATGCAGTTGCCAGCGTTTCTATGGTTAGACTTCAAATCAGTGGCTGAAAAGAGCTTTATAAATAGAAAACCTACAAATGGGTCAGGATGGGGATCACTCAAGTTACTACGAACTCCAAAGGCCATGAGTCAAATTCTATTTTTCACTAGAAATCTCAATAAAATATTTATAGCAAACCCAGAAAGTGGATTTCTTAGGACTGAACTTCTATAAAATACGGAAGCTTCTTGAAAAGACTCAATGTAAAAAAGAAACATTAGGGTCTTCTCATTTGACAGATTTATTACAAAATGATACATAATAATACCTACATAATCCGTTCTGCTAAGTCCTGCCACTGGCTGGTTATAGCACTCTAGAATAAAAATTGTTTTTAATCACTGCATAGCATATGCCCCAACCCTAATTACGTATCATGTTTTATATGAAATAAAGTGTCCCAGTGAATATGGACATAATTTGATTATAAAGCATACATTTATAGATGACTCTCAGCTCTCAGAGCTATTTTAATATTGCCTAGCGGAAAAAAAAAAGGTGAATTTTCTTTTGTAAAAAGAGAATGTACAAAATATTTCTTTAAATCACCATGTCCTCTAAAGTCTTATTGCAAATAATGATTAATGTGGTACTTTTCACACACATTAACCGCACATACCTGCAGCCCCTTTTCCATTTCCAATAGCAACGACAGCACGAATTGATTTTTTTCGGCCTTCCTTTGCTTTCATGCAAAACACATTTTTCATCTGGAGAAAGAAATACAAAGCAGCTTGTTATGACACGGTCCAACTAYATTCTTTTCAAGAGTCAGCTTATTAACAAGACATTAGAGGTTTATGATGAGGCCTTGCAATACAGCCTGCCTTTGTGAATGAATATCATCTGCAGTGGGACACTGGCTTTGAGGCATTAAATATTTAAATACCGCAAAGAATCTAAACTCAGATATGCAAAAAGTTGTTTGTTTGAGTGCAGTTTCTCTAACGTAGCCCCTCTGTTGTGTTTATTTGCATGACAGACATCCTCTAACACCATTAGTTTCAAGTGTGATTTTAATCGCGATGAAAAAACAGACAGTAAGGAAAKGAAATAAATGAAAAGTGACATTAATGTTTCTCCCCACACCCCTTTACATTTTAACGTATTTTAGAAGCACTGTCAGGAATTGCTCAAGGCTTTACACGGGTTAAGTCCTGGGATTCAAATCTGCTTGCAGACAGCAGAAGGCATTGATTTGTAGCTCTTCTCATTACCGAGATGGCAGCTGCTAAAAAGATGACTTCATTTGAGAAAGGGGAGAAAGAGAAATGGTGTCTGATTCCTGGAACCAGAAATGTTAACAGAAGCACCGCAATCGTTTCAAACAGAGATGCAACAAAGACATTTAGGTTGAAGCGAGGGGGCACAACAAAAACTGGGGAGTCAGGGGGGCCTTATGGCTGGGATCCTGGAGAGCAAGGTTTGCTTCTGTCTCTCTCGAGTCTTTTCATCCCATGCTTTATATTCTTCCCATTTTAAAGGGTCTAATATATTATAGACTTCCCACTTTAAGTGGTCTAATGCATCATTTGAAATCCTTTGGCTATCTAGCTGTTGCTCTAGTTCCCTTGTTTTGTTTACATCCATCCACACACACATACAAATGTGCATGTATTTTCTCTAACACAGTGAGTATTGCCTCATCGTGCTAAAATTCGTGTCTCAGAATTACTAGTCAACATACACAATACACTTCATGGGCCATTTCTGTCTTTCCCTTCAAATATATCAAGGTATGCTTTCTTGAAGCACCACGACAATTTCTGTAAGTTATTACAGTAACAGTTAAATTAAACACGCATTGTTTATCTATGAATTAAGCAGTGTTCGCTCTTTTTCAACATATACAGTTCTTCAGGAAGCCAGTTTGGTTGTAAAATATGTTTTTAAGGAGATTATCGCAAAATAYGTGGTCATGGCTTAATCATTCTTGTTGGTATTCACAGTAGCAACAGCCCAATGACGTCCCTGGGTACAGGTTAGGAATGAGTACTTGCAAAAAAAAAAAAAAACCTTTTCATTTTCATTAAAATAAAGATGCTCTTAAACTCAAGGTACTCATATGTTCCAGAGAGAGTATTTCAAAGAAATGCCCGTSCTGCTGTTTGCTTATTCCAAGTCATTTTTTCTTTCCGTGACCTTGCAGCTTGCATTGAAGAGCTAAAAARCAAGTAAAAATTCAAGTCCCTGCGAAAACACGTTACTTACAGGAAGCAGCAACAAGGCAATATAGAAATGGGACTGAACCAGAGCGATGGTCTCTCCAGATGCACCAACACCACACTGGATTTGCTCTACGGATATTAGTTCCTCCAAGCAGCAAAGTGAATAGGTGTTTGCACAAACCCAAGGGCCTCCCTGTGGGACTATCCTTACAGCTCATTCTTCTCCCTCTCCAGAAGGTGGCAACAGGAACATGTGCAAGAAGCTTCTGCAGGGGCTGCCTCCTGCAACCCACACTTGTCAGCGGGGAGGGAAGACGGAGCTCGTGGCCTTGCTCGCTCCSGAAACGCCGGAGAGGCCTCCCAAGCTCACACGGGTGTGCAGGATCATGCCCCTCCCTGGGCCGCCTCCGGAGAGCGTTGGGCTGTACCTCCCTTCCCGCCTGGAATTCCAGCCTGCAGCCCCAAACATATCATTAAGCTGYGAGGGAATTAATTAAGGCGCAATTAGTAGCTTGCCACTTTCCAAAGGCGACCTCCAAAGAGAGGCCGAGATTAAGGCAGAATTATCCTTATTTACTAGATTTTGAGACAGATTTAAAGCCTGCTTTTTTTTTTTTTTTAATTTGAAAACAGATGCGTGTTCAACCTTACTCACAGYGTGCCTCAAACTGTCACCCCACAGCTCCCATTCCACACCAACAACGGCAATGTGGGGGCACTGGTTACGGAACTCCTCGCAGCTACACCCTAAACCTCCCACACCCCAATGCCCCAAGCTGGAGGGCACAACTTGGGGTGCAGGCGAGCAAGAGTGTGACACAGAGGTTCCCACCTATACAGAGAGTGGGCAGCGGCGAGGGCAGCACTGCAGGGGAAGGCAGATGAATCTCTCTCCTAAGCCCACTAAGATGTGACCTTCTCAAAGACCAGCAAATTTGTCAGTCCACGCCGCTGAACATATGTAGTCCCTCTCGCAGCTCTTAGTTGGAGTAAATAAAACATTTCTCTCTCGGAGAATGTGATTCAGTAGCTGTAGCCTCGCAGCAGCCGGAGGCACGGGGCACACGAGATCTAACCATCTTGTACATCACGGAGACCCAGCCCCTGGCCACAGAGCAAYGACAGATGCAGCAGGACCCAAATGACCTGCACTCACCTGCTCCTCACCCAGAAATGCAGGGGAAGGGACCACCTCCAAACTCAGCTGTACTTTGTGCAGGTGCCAATATCAGAGCTGGAAACTGCCYGGGACATTTTTATCAGCTATCTACAGACACAGTCAACATGACCCAGGGAAGAGAACGTGTCCCAGCAGCTCTGAAAGCCACGTCTGTAGCTACAACATCCCACAAATACATTTTAGCCAACATCTCATTTGGAGTAAATTATTGCTCAGAGAATACCGCATATAACATGTAATTTTTCAGTCAAGTATGTCAAACAAGGGATCTCAGACACTGTAATTTCATGCAACATTTCTCTTTCACAAATCTTTTTTTTTTAGGTGCCATTTCCCGAAACAATGGCTGGAAAACAATTTCCAAAGCCTTACAAAAAGAAATGCAGGTTTGGGATTCTGTGCATTAAGGAATTGTATTTTTGCCACAGAAAAAAATATTACTGTGGTTTTAAAATACAGTTATTTGTGATGAGTCTACCAAGATTAATTCTGTGCTTTTAAAACAGACGCTTACTAATGGCTTTCTTGCTACTTCATGGAAAATTGAAGCTATGGCCCTATATTCTATTATATTAACAATCTCCCTTTGCATCTGGACAATTTATTTTTGTTTAGTGGATGCAGAACAAATGACTACAGTGATGCAATTATCTCTTTTCACTGTTCCTGCTCCCTGCAGATAGCTGCATGGACTTCCGAAAAAAATACACATATTAAGTTGCTGACAAACCACTCAGAGGTACTTAAGGTTCTTTGCATCATTTTTGCCCAATAAACCTCAGGTGTTTTGATTTTACTCCCTCATGCCCCCATAAAAGTAGTGCTTCTTAGGCAAGCAGTTTCTGCACGGCTTGGTAAAGAAAGTCACGTAATGTTCCCATCCCTGGAGGGTGCCAGGACAGAGATTCCCCCAGTTTTTGCTAAGGGCTGAACTCAGAATGATCAAATTATGGAACCAAATTCAGGCAACACAAACCTTCAAAGGAGTGTGGAAATGGGTGCCTGGAGGGAAAAAAAAAAAGGGGGGGGGGAAACATGGAAATGACCAGACTCACATTAAAAAGTTACAGGTCTTGCCCAAATTCTTGGTACACGGGACCCCAGATATGAACTGCCAATACTGCAATACACTTCTGTAAGGTATTTCCAATCTCCATGTAATTCCAGTGAGATACAGTCTGGAAGGCAAACTCCTGGGGATAACATTCAAGGATTCAGCTCGATTCAAGATTCAGATGACAGCCCGGGATGGGGCTTCGTCTGCTGCACAGCATCTTGACTACTGGACAAAATTATCCCTTCTTGAAGGCTCTCATCACTATCTTGAGGAAAAATATCACCCTCCCACTTTTCAGAAAACCCACTCACACTAGTACCTGGAAATAGGCTATTTACATTGATTTATTCCATCTTGGGAAGACCCAGATAACTATTTTTAGTCCTTGAGTATTAAAAAGATCTTTTGTCCTCACTTCTTCCCTCTCTTCCCACACTCCTAGAAAGTTAAAAAAGAAAAAAATCCAGGGAAAAAAAATGATAGGCAGCTCTACCTTCAACACAACAAAGAATGTGAGAGATAGCCCTGGACTAAAATAGGAACATCAAGTGCTGTTGACATCAAAGGACCAGGACATAGATAATACTTAGCTCACGTCAGACTAAGCTCTGTGCATAGACTGGAGCCCACCAGGGGCTTTACACTGCAATCTTCTGCACTGTTTCTGTATAGAAATCAGGTATATTGCCAGACCTCAACACTTCACATATAAACCAGTGTTAAAAACCACWTTTGTTTAAGAAGGCCTGTACTGTATTCTAACCATTGAGCTGAAAATAAGAACTATTCTGACACTGAAAAAATTGCACCCTAAGCCACTGATCCAGCTACAAAGTGGCCACACTTGCAGAACGTTATTGTTGGCATGTTGATTTTTGAAAAAAAAATCAATTATTTAACAATGGRTGCTAGACGATATAAAGCCTTGCAGTTGGAGTAAGAATGGCATATGCAACCTGTCAACTACAGCTATAAATTCATGCTATACAACAGTAAATGCTACTGTGGGTTTTATTCTCACAGTATTTCTTCCTATAAATGACATTCAAGCAAAACAGCTTTCCTTTATAAGGAAATACCTGCACATGTTATTTCTCTCTCTTAACACGTAAGCGTACACTTGTGGCAGCATAATCTTACCAGAAAAGGGGCTTTTGCGTTTTTGTTCATAAATGCTACCATTTTTATGTTTTAGGCTGAGAGAACTGCTGAAAATCAAGACAAAAATGAGAAACAAACAAAAAAAGCAGCTTTTTTTTCCTGCAAATTGTAATTTTCCAGCAATTGTTTTAACCTCTTCTGSTG